TAGGTGTATACTTCCAGTGCAGAGGCATTGAAGGTGAAGGGAAAAGGCAGTTCCACTGCTATGCAGGGGATTCACGTGACACTTGTGAAGCCACAGAAAGTCTGGAGGCCCTCCTGAAGCCAGTCCAAGTACAATATTAAATAAAACCCCTGAAGTACGCCGGTGAAGGGTAAAGTGAAGGGTGAAGCAAGACCGTATGCCCCAACTTCAGGCACACACAGAAAATCACATTTTGGTCCCGCCTCTCAACTGTGTATTTGAAGTTGGGGCGTTTGGTGTTGAACTGCTTCAGCCTTCACCTGAATGCTTGTAGGTCTTACGTAAGACGTTGACTCTAGGAGGGGCCTCAAAACTTGCTGTGATTTATGGGGAAATCCGGTTGTAAGACTTTTACAAAGTCAGTAATGGTACTGTAGTAGAGTATGCAGCTGACAATGCCTTGGGCAAGGGTTCATGTCGCCTCACAGCTCCAGTGGATTTTCTGCTTGGTATATATCATGTTGTGATTTTGTGTGTGTACCGTATTGTTATGATCGCCGTCTGATAAGTCCTTTCTGGCCTCGAGTCATTTTTACCCACCTAGAAAGATTACAGATGGCCAAAGCAGTTATTTAAGTTAAGAAGGGACAAGTCTTAAACAGAATTTTGCATAATATTTGACTGTAAAGGGGTAAATTGAGGTAGATTGAAAAACAAAATGGTGAACCGGGCAGGCGGTACTCACAATTAGGCGAGTACACTCGTGAACTTTTAAAGTGCAACCAAACATGCTTTAGGCTCTCACAACAAGAGGTGAGTGGTGGTGGCTCAGGTGCTCAGACAATCAGAGCACCTAAGGAGGGAGGGCAGGAGTGAGAGTGGGGTGGTATGTGGAAGTTTGGTGACAGTTGTGTGTAGTTTGTTCATCTTCATTGTAAGTTTCATGGCTTAGTGTGCATTTCCCTAGTAAATTTAATTAGGGAAAAATTCAGGTGTTTGATTTTTTAAATCAACTTTTTAAATGTTGAGTTGTTAAAGCCTCAAAGTGCATGGAGTAGGTTTGGGAGTATGGCATCCTCATGCTGTTGCGTGCTCGCGTGAGGTGGCAAAGGTGATGTAAAGTTGTGGGGTGTACATGCTTGGGACGTCCTCGCTCGGCGATGGCTGGTGTTAGACCTGTGTGTTTGTCGGTTGTTGAAAAGTCGTCATGATTTGCTGTTATGGTATTGAGTTTACATTGTTCATCTTGTAATTAATACTGTAGTGCGATATCTAGGGCTACCATTCGTAGGTTTAAAATGTCTAATACAAACAGTTGTCCAATGAGTTTTAATAGGAAACATCATCCACCAAGTACCATTGTACAATTATATTAATTGATAGTATATGGATTGTGCAGAACTGCTTAGAATGATCTTTAACACTTGGCTATATTGGTCACGTCAAATACCTGCACGGTGAATGCTCAAAGACCCTTTCTTTATTCAGTGTTGTCACATACCTCATGGGGGTATGGATAGGCAAACACTCATTCGGTTAAACTTGCCTTGTAGTACTTTCAGAGCTCAGTAATTTGGAATCTGGTTAGCACTTTCCAAATAAATTGACCTTTACAGTGAATTCCTATTTAGGTTTAAAACGTCATACCGAATGAGAAACTCGGATTATTTAGTCGAACACCAGAAATGTTGTTATTCAATTTGGTTGCCTAAAGCACATTCAAGGACTACACATTACATGGCATTCCAGGATTCCTCTATACCTTGCCTTATGCTGTAAACATTGCCACAATCCTGTGTTTTATTGATTTAAATGGCCACAGGGAGGCATACAACACTGCAGATTATGATGTCATTAGTTATCCACTGTGCTGACAAGTTGGGTGACTCTGATGTTCGTTGACACCTGTATCGTGCTTCAATTTAATCGCCAGGAGATCACCCTCTCACTAGACTCGTCTGTAGGAAGTACAGTATAGTATCTCAAATTACCTTGGATCATATATAGCATAAGACTTGGGGGTAGGAGAGGGTTGCAGTGTTTGTCATGGCTCTCAGTTGTTCCTGATATTAGGCAATTTAGTTCTGGAATCATTTTTGTTGGCCAATGTTAAACTTTTTCGAAAGTAGATGTTTTTCTGAAAGGGAAGTGGGGGGGGGGACCTCTATGCTTGGATACAGTTATCTAAGTGAATACTTAGATTTATACAGTAGAATAACTACCTTCTTTTCCTTAGTCAAAAAGGTTGCTTGTTTATTTCTAGGGACTTGTATTTTCTGTTATTTTTAACTGCGGCAACTTTCAGTGAATGATAGATTCTTACTGAAAGGACCTTTACTTCATTGTTGTTGCTTTATGGTCATCTCATTGTGTACAGGGATTCCGCGAAGCTTTTGGGGTTAGTCTTTGACACTCGTTTGTCTTGGTCAGCCCATATCTCTTGCCTCCGAGTTGAATGCTCTAAGGCCCTTAACCTCCTTAAGGTTTTGTCCCATACTTCTTGGGGAGCGGATTGGCGCACGCTCCTCTATTTGCACTCCTCTCTCGTCCTGTCTAAACTCGATTATGGTTGGCCTGCATACTCTTCTGCTTCTCCTTCTACTCTTCACCGTCTTGATGCTTTGCACCATACTGGGTTGCGTCTCGGCTCTGGTGCCTTTCGTTCGACTCCCGCCCTTAGTTTGTATGTTGACACTGGCTTTCTCTCTCTTCAGGACTGCCGTGATCGCTACTGTCTTTGCTATCTTGCGCGGTCCTTCCAACATTCTTCTTCTCGCCTCTGTCGTGCATTGACTTTTCCTCCTGTGGTTCCTGTTCCTCTTCATTGTCTCCCACTTTCTGTCCAGTTATCTCGCTTACAGGATTCTCTTTCTGTTCATATTTCTAATGTTTCTCCTCGTATTGTTCCTTCATTACCTCCGTGGAGAGTCCCCCTTCCCAAGTTTTGTACGTCCTTGACTTGTATTACGTACTAAAGCCTTTACCCCTCCTACAATTCTGAAAAGCCTCTTCCTTGAGCACTTTTCTTCGCACTCCCACTCTATTTCCATCTTCCCTGATGGGTCTAAGTCTGCGGATGGTGTGGGCTACTCTGTTGTTTTTCCTGACCGTACTTACATGTGTTGCCTCCCTTCGGAGGCTAGCGTCTTTACGGCAGAACTTTATGCTATTCTGTATGCTCTTCGTCTCTTGCTTTCTCATTCTCATTCCTCCTTTGTGGTTGTAGTTGATTCTCGTAGTGCCCTCATGGCTCTAGGGTCCTTTAATCCTGTCCATCCGGTGGTCATTGAGATTCAACATTGGCTGTTTCTTATTTCTAGTAAATTTAAATCAGTAGAGTTTTGCTGGGTTCCCACCCATATTGGTGTTTCAATGAGCGTGCGGATGCTGCCGCTAAGGAAGCTATCCGTTATTGTCCCATCTCCCGTAAAGGTATTCCTTATTCCGACTTTTATCCTGTTATTCATTCTTCCCTGTTGGCAGGGTTGTTGGTCCTCTGTGGTTGATGACAAGCTACGTACTCTCAAACTTAGTGTGTCCCCGTGGCCTTCCTCCTACCACCGTAACCGGGGGTGGGACACTGCTTTGGCACGGCTGTGGGTTGGTCATACCAGCTTAACCCACGGTCACTTAATGGAGCGCCGCCCTGCTCCTTATTGTCCGAATTGCGTTGTCCCTCTTACAGTTGTGCATATCCTTGTTGAATGTCCTGACTTCCAGGACGAGCGTATGTCTTGCTTTCCGACTGTCCCTCGCTAGAATTCTAGGTGAATCGGATACTTTTGATATCGTTCGCCTTATGCGTTTTTGTTCTCGTATTGGCATTCTTGGTGATATTTAGCGCCCTCTGATTATTTCGCACTTTTATGTACTACATAGCCTTCCCGGTTTGGTGCCTTCTTTTGGTAATTACCTTACCTTCATTGTTGTTTCATTTTAATGTGGTAGTTGTGATATAGATTGTTCAGGCTCGCGTGCAAGGTCTTGAATTTTTTTCTGTTTTATATTAAGAAATTGCCAGTCTTGTTACTGTTTGTAGAGTTAGAGATCTGCATTAAGGCCTCAATATTATAGTCTTTATAGCATGTTATAGTCTTTATAGCATGTTATCAGCAATTTTTGTGGTTGGTAATATTTTGATTGTCAGTGATGTATATGACAAGGGTTAAGACCCCTTGTGGTATGACAGCATTTTTCCCGTCATTTCTTTAACAAATGAAAGGGTCCTCGTAACCATTCTTTTGTCCTTTCTACCATGTACCTGTTTGTTGCTTCTTGGTCTTTCATTTGGTACTTGTGTACTTTGTTTTAATAGCCAATGGCCTTTGGTAATGTTGCAATTACCATTTCTAAAAAAATGAGCAGGTTCATTAGGCAGGGTTTGTTTTTAGCAAACAAAGTTTTACAAAATAAATTCCATCAGGACCTTGCAGATGTTAGGTCAAACTAATTGACAGTAATCTGTTTTGCCTTTTCAAACAATGATGGTTTTAATCTAGGTAAAATATTTCAGAATATCTGAAGAGTTTGGCAGACATCATTTAAGAGCTTTGATTAATTTTAAGTTACCAAAGACTTTGTGAAAACCATGTTGTGTAGATGCTTCAGTGTCACTTTTCTAATGTTTTGTAAATTTAGTTACTTTAAAGATCAGTTAATCATAATTTGTACAAAGCTTAGGTATTGCATAGCTTTAAATTTACTTTCAAATATGAAAACTAAAATATTTACTAAAGTTTCTTCCACTTTAATATCAGACTAATTTGCAATATTTGTTAGTTTATGTAAATTGAATAGTTAGTACACTTTTGCATGCACCTATGTGACAAGTTACAAATAGGTGTAAATTTTACAAAGTATTTATTTTCAAAGTAAAAAAAATTCAGATGTTTAAACATTGCATCAATAGTAGTAAACAGTAATTTCCAGCATGATTAAATCTATTGCCTAATTTCAGGATAAGGTATATAAAGTAGTTTCATTAAAAGTGTTTTATTTAATAAGTTTTACATATAGTATTTATAATAAATCTAATATTTATTACTGTTTCAGGTTGTGGGACAGAAGATCCAAAAGGCCAAGACAACTCCAGAGACAATCACCTGTAAAAGAAAAATAAACATTAAACAGGGACACTACTTTTATTATCACCAATGCCTAATAATAAGCCCAAAAATCCTAACATCCTATCTTTTAAGATAGGATCAGCAAGGCCTATCCCTTCCTCTGATTTCAGTGCAGAGCTTGTTCCCTGAATGGGAACATTACATCCACCACTTTAGTGCCCTCAACACATTGTACATATGCTTTACCAAAAGCACTGTACAATGTATTCCAGGCACTAGAGTTTTAGATGCATGCACCCATTCAGCAAACAAGCCCTGTAAGAATTAACAATGTCACCATTGTTAAGGGTCCCTAAACCTATGCAAATCCAGTCCATCTATTAGATGGGTAGTAGAGCAAAGCTCTGAAAAAGCCAGGACAGGAAAATCTGCAGGACTGCCTGGTCCCCTTCTATGAAATGGGGTAGGATCAGTACAAACTGCATCAATCCCTGTGGGTTGTAACAGTAGGACATTGTTACACACCTATAAATGGACTAGATAAGAGAATTAAGATTAACTTTCATTGATATAGCTAAAACATAGAATTCAAACTCACCCACTTTGTAGATTTCCTTTTACAGAGTAAAGGAGCCTCAGTCCAGGCATCATAATCACCATCTGAAAAATATGTAAACAAATTAACTTCAGATTTAAAACTGATCTAGCTTTACTTTTAAAATTAGCATTCAGTACTTTAAAAATTCAAATGGAAAATGTTTAATTTCTTTAAGGAATTAACATTACCTACATTCTAGTAGTAAAGATCTAATTTAGCCATATAAATATATATGGCATCACAAAAATTTGCAATGTTTCAGTAAATGTCATTTGAGAAACTATCTCCAACTGCACTTCAATGGCAATTGACATTTATCTTTAGCCAATGCTATTATTTAAGTTATAACAATTTTTTTTACTTTTATGCAAATCTATTCAAATTAACCTTTACTACAACTCGCCTGATTCTGTTGAAGCAGGTAACTTCCAACTGACAGAGGGACTTCTGGACTTTCCAAACCACATTCTGGAAAACATTATAATTTAAAAAACCAAGCTAAAGTAAACATTGATTATTTTTTTTTACTTTCAAGGGAAAAATACAATCACTTAGAACAAAACTTTTCCTGCCATTAACTTATTTGACTCCTGATTACCCTTAACAGTGTTGCACATTTAATGTTAACCAAACATTTACATTTCATTAAAATTTTATTAATAAAACACCCTCACCTATGCTGTTTAAGATCTAATGCCCCACATTACAATCTTCACAATTTCAACATTACCATTCTATTAAATACATTCCTGAAAGGAATGATTTTGCAGATATGGTACCCACTAGCCTAAGCCTAGACTTTTCCATACCCATCTTGAGGTTATCTTGAGATGATTTCGGGGCTTTTTAGTGTCCCCGCGGCCCGGTCCTCGACCAGGCCTCCACCCCCAGGAAGCAGCCCGTGACAGCTGACTAACACCCAGGTACCTATTTTACTGCTAGGTAACAGGGGCATAGGGTGAAAGAAACTCTGCCCATTGTTTCTCGCCGGCACCTGGGATCGAACCCAGGACCACAGGCTCACAAGTCCCGCGTGCTGTCCGCTCGGCCGACCGGCTCCCTCCCATACCCTAATATTTAACAGGTTTTTAGCAATTAACTTTACCCTCCAATTCCAAGGTACACAACACTACTTACTCTAGATCTGCAAGTATTTTTCTGCAGCTCTTTCTTGCCAGGACCATCCACAACCTGTCATGTGAACAGTAAATGTTACTAAAAACTTATTTGCATAGCAATGTTATTTTGGTCATACCTGTACCACCAGTTTAACAGTCACCATTTTAAATGGCACCAAGTATCTTTGTCTTATCTTTATTACAAACAAAGCTATAGTCATTTAAAGTCAAGATCCTATAAAAATTTTATTTTCAGACAACTTTAGTTATGAACATTGCAAACAATGTTCCAGAAAAATAAACTTAAACTATGTATAACATTTGAATAAAAGCAATACAAAATTTATATATACAAATCTTTATTCTTTTACAACCACTGCTTACTACTAGGTGGACAAATTCATTCTGTTGAAAGTTATGTACCAAGCTTTTTAGTCTGAAAGTTCATAATTAACCAAACTATACTACCAAGACAATGTGATTTTACTAAATTTAGTAATATTTACACTAGCAACTATACAAGGCCATATTCTTTCCAGTTATCACCACACTTCTGCAGGTGTAAGGCTCTATCTCCCCCATCTGCAGCACTTATGACCACACTTGGTCTTTATTATAAATTTCTTTATGGACCTGCTACAGTTCTGACAAGGGAATGATTAACACACCTTGCAAGCCAACTAATATTAAAGTTTGAAATATTTATTAAAAGCAGAAGTTTTTATCATATGGGGTGTTATTTTAGAAGAATGGGTGGTGTGGTGGTTATGTTATGGTTCAGTAACATGGTACAAGAGGGCAAGTAGTTGCTGAGCAAGTATGCCAATTTCTATTTCTAGCAAACTGGCAGATACAGCAGAAGTGCACACTTTTTCTGCATAGATTCTAATGGCAGGAAAGTTCCTATTAGAGTTACTAGCCACCATTCACTAATGACTAGGGGAAACCTCAGAGCATCTTTGATGGCAACGAAAATGTTGCCCCCTTCAAAAAGTTAAGCTTGTCTACAGCATTTCCTTTTTAATTGACTATGTAAGGGGGAAGATTCTGAATAGCAAGTGCCAATAGGCTGTGCCACTGGTTTATGGCAAAAGATTCTGTAGCAATAGAACTATAAGCCACACTCCCCCCCCCCCCCCCTTTCCTCCCAACTGTTCAGTGTCAAAGGGGGGGGGGGTCCATTTACTGTACCACTTACATTTTAGTGTAGCCTTCATTCACTATTCTGATGTTGGCTGGAACATTTGTGCCAGCTGCTGGTTTGAAAGGGACGCATACCATGTGCCAATTCAGGAAGCTTTCCACGTTCCTCACTGCTTGTCAGCTCAGGACCTCGCTACCATGTTGGGAGGCAGTTGAAGACTAACCAATCAACATCCCGGGCTGGAGAGCAGTACCAGCCGAGGGAGAATTTACCATCTGCAACAAAATTTAATACCCTTAACAATCTACACCATCTAGCTCATCTTTACCATTACCTAGCCTCCAAACTTTACATTTGTCGGCATTAAACTGCATCTGGTAGGCTTAACCATTTCAAAACTATTTAGGGCATCAGTTTTTTTATATGCCAATTCTGCAACTATTGCAGTCTAAACCAAAATCTGGTGTTGTGAATAACCTAGGTCCAAGGACAGCCTTTAGGCACTACTGTACTTTCAACATTTCTGCCCCCCAACTTAACCCCATTTATACTATCATTTCCTTTGGTATAACCACGCCCTAATCAACTTTAGTCAGCACTCCCAATGATGCTAGCCTCTTATCAATTTTGTGCCACTATCAAAATCTCTGCTAAAGTCAAAGTACACAAAATCACAAACCTTATCACTATTTCCTCAATTATGTAACCTAAACCATGAACAGCCAGTAGTCAAATCATGCTATTCATGTATCTAGTCACATTTCTCAAAAAGTGATGGTACTTGCAATGTTAGATTCTAGTAACTTTCCTCAGAATAGACTAAGCTAATTGGCCGCTAACTTAAGCGATAAAATTCACTTTACAAAATTTTCCTTTAAAACTTACCATATTAGGAACTTTCCGCGACTGCCATTTACCCGACATGCTGTATTAAATAGAGTAAAAACGGTATACAGTATCGAGTCTAGTAAAACTACGGTAAATTAAATATGGTTAACTTGCATTCTTTAAGCATGGGCTGCATAGTAAATGAATTAAACTAAACGTTAAGCACCCTGGCAAACCACTTCGTTCTATTCAATTTATTTTATCACTTCGTCCGGCTAGATTTTTAAGATTAGATTAAAAGGAACACCCTCTGGTAACGTCTGAACTAGTTAACCAAATACAAATATATATTTAGGCAAAATACTTTCATAAAACCCGTCTACTTCCCCCACCAGTAGACTCGTTCAGCTAAAGGCATAATGTAATGTTCCTCTTTAGTAAATAAAGACTTAAACACTACCCCATCTATGTAGTTACCGGTTACCTGACATTCTACGCTTAAAATAACCCATCTATTCCCCATAGTTGTTCGATATAACTTACCTTTCACCCGCTGGTTGAGCACACAGCAGTATATATATCCTCTCCAACCACTCACCGCGTGGATACTATCCTACTGCGGCCGCAACTTGCCTCAAATCACCTACGTTGTCCATAAACATATATAGAAGAGCAACTGACCGTAACACCCGTATAGTGATCGTCACATAACGTGGGAACATTAGTAGTACTGCTGTCAAAACATAGATGGCGCCAGAACAAACGGTAATTCCTATGGTCTCGCCTAGTTATGCGTAGGGAATTGAGCTTCAACTGTTTGGTCCCGCCCCTCAGCTGTATTCACCTAGTTGTACTCACCTAATTTGTGCTTGCAGGGGTTGAGCTTTGGTTCTTTGGTCCCGACTCTCAACCGTCAATCAACTGGTGTATAGATTCCTGAGCCTACTGGGCTCTATCACATCTACATTTGAAATTGTGTATGGAGTCAGCCTCCACCACATCACTGCTTAATACATTCCATTTGTTAACTACTCTGACACTGAAAAATTCTTTCTAATATCTCTGTGGCTCATTTGGGTACTAAGTTCCCCTTGTTCGTGTTCCACCCGTGTTAAAGAGCTGTCTTTGTCCACCATGTCAATTCCCCTGATAGTGGGCCAGCCAGAGGTTTAGGGCCCGTGCAGGAATATCCCTGAAAAAAAAAAATACCCTGAGATTTTTGTAGGTTGCTATCATGTCATGTCTCCCCTTACTCGGGTTTCCAGAGACGTGAGGTTCAGATCCCTTATCCTTTCCTCGTAGCTCATACCACTCAGTTCCAGACTGGTGGCATACCTCTGAATCTTCTCTAACTGTTTTTTTACTCAACTGCTTCGCTATCTTACATTCTTGGTTGCACCATGGATTCTTCTCTTGCTTTTCCTTTTTCTCCTTTTGGGCCAGGATAAACCTGTCTGCAGCTTCCTGGCACTTCTAGGTGACATAGTCCATCATATCCTGTACAGTCTTCTCTCTGAGTTCTGTTTCCCATGCTATTCCCATTAGGAAGTTCCTCATCTCGTCATATTTTTTTCTGGGGGGGGGGGGTAATTTAGTCTTTTCCCTTCCAATCCCATCCTTGGATACGTTATATCCCTACCTCTACCAGATATTCAAAGGTCAATAAACTGTGGTCACTCATTTCCATGTGGGCTTCAAATTTGTACCTTATTTCTGACTCATTGAAGGTGAATATCAGGTCAAGTCTAGATGGTTCGTCATTACCTCGCATGGGTAATCGTCATTACCTCGCATCTTGTGGGTCCCTTGACATATTGGCTCAAAGTTCCTTGTTGCCATTTCAAAGAAAAAAAAAAAAAGTTCAGCTCTCCATGTATCTGCACCTCCATGTGGGTCCCCCATTCTCCCGGTCTATCTTTCCATGGTTGAAATTGCCCATGATTAAGAGTCTGGATCCATTCCTGCAGGCAACTGAAGCTGCTCTCTATTATGTTATTGGTTGCCATGTTGTTCCTATCAAACTCCTGCCTGGGGTTTCTGTCAATTAGTGGAGGGTTGTAAATGACTGCTACTATTATCTTAGGTCCACCCATTGTCATAGTTCTTGTTATGTAGTCTCTGAATCTTTCACAGCCCAGAATTTCCATCTCTTCTAAACTCCAGTCCTTCCTTATCAGCAGGGCCACTGTTCTTCCTCCTCTCCCTTCTCTCTTTTCTTAGTATATAGCAGTCCTTTGGAAACATAGCATTTGTTATGACTCCTGACAATTTTGTTTAAGTCCTATTACATCTGGGTTTTCTTCTTGCACCCTTTCTACCAGTTCACTTGCTTTATTGGTAATCCCATTGATGTTTGAGTACATTATCTTGATGCTCACTTTTCTATATCCATTTTCACCCACCCTCCCCACTAGTGTAGGAAGCCATTCCATGGGCAGGGCTACTTGGGTAGGCTCTTCCTCCTGTAGGGTACTTACCAGGGGTTCAGGGGGAGGTGGGGTGCAGGATGGAGTCCTTAGATCTTGCCCAGGCCTGCTTGGGACAGGAAGAAGTCCTGGGGGTGGAGGGGCAGGGAGTGCTCGGGGTTGGGGGGGGCAGGGAGTAATCGTCCTACTGTGGTGTAGTAAACATGGATTTGGGGGGAGGTGGGGTGGGGGATGGTGGGCTTAGATCTTCCTTGGAGCAGCAAAAAGGCCAGGGGATGGGAAGGCAGGAGGGTACTTGGGGTAAGGGGGGAGGAGGATTTGGGTGGTATGGTGGGCATTGTGTAGGGGCAATGGAGGATTTGTGCTTGGGGTGGGGTGTGGGGGCTCCTATGGGGTGGTGGGTTGGGGATATAGCAGTCCCTTCTGAGATTCCTGAATTGCTGGATTGGGGTTCCCCACTTCCCTCTGGGATTGCTAGGTTGGAGGCTCAGGTTCCCTGGCTCCCTTCCCTCAACCTGTGCCTTTTCCTTGCATCTGCTGCCTGTATTATCTTGTACCTGGTCATGTCCCTCTGAAGGAATACCTCTCTGTAATTCCTTACATTTTTCGGTTTGCACTTCTTTACTAGGATATCCTCTTTAGTGGTCTCACTCCTGAATACTACCTTGATCAATAGATTTTTGTCTTTGTTTTACTGGCCAATCCAGAAAAACTTTTCTATGCCTTGCTCAGCCCCTTCCATTACTATCTCTGACACTGCAGCTTTGTCCTTAGCCCTCCATTCGTCTTGCTTGGAACCTTCTTGTTCCTAAATACCTTCCACGACTAAAGCTCTTTTTCCTTACCATTAGCGGGCTCATGCATCTAGCTGCCTCCCATGAAGTTATTGCTTTCATTGCAATTTCCTTGACTGTGTACATGGCTTCTGGCCACTTCCTCAGCATTTCAGCAAAGGTGGCACCCATTGTAGGGGTCCCTGCCATTGCTACATTCCCTGCTACTTGGGGGTTGGTTACCTGGGCCAGTCTGAGTTTTTTTTTCTTTCATGCTTTTTTTTTTGTGTGATCTCGTATTCTCAATTCTAACTCTTCAGAAAATAGCTTCATGTCATTCATTGCTTACAATACAAAAATCTGCATTAAAATTTCATTGTAAATAACACTGAAACCACACAGATATAAGGAACATTGAATATTGATATAGTACAGGATTTTTTCAAATTATAAATAAGGTAACACACGACATAAGAATTGTCAAATTGTGTTGCGAGAAATTCTCAGTCTCCCAATGTACATTTTGATGAATGTACAGAGTCTATCAGTATTATTTCAAAATGCATCTTATTCTTACAGTACAACACAGTTTATCTGTTTGTGGACAATGCACAAATTCCAAATAATTTTTTTTTCTAATTTCTAACTAAATAGCAAAACTTTAAATCATCAATCAGCATAGCATCATTTCAACAGACTTAACTCAACCTATATACTTATTTAAATAATCCTGATCAATTACCATTCAACACATTGTTACACCTCTCGTCCATGCCCTGTCTCATTCAGTCGTTGCAATAGTTTCTCATAATATTTACTAACATCCTCAGAGTGCATGCAGTGGAGGCAGCGGTGGTGCACGAACCCCAACTTCTAGTCGAGATACAACTCCCAACACACATATGGCAATGTTGGAAAGTGATGACTTCTCCCTCAATTCCATGGATATTGATTGCCATCCTCATCCACTTAATGCAGACTCTGACACAGAGCTAGAGTCAATGTCCTCACCTGAGACCCCCCCCCCCCACAAGTTATCCTTTAGTGTCCTCTCTGTAGGGGTCATGAGGATGGTGTGTGCACCCTCCATGCAGACCCTGAAATTGTAATGCAACAGGTCGAAACTCTGAAACAAGATAACAAGCTCAAGTATGATGAATGGGATCTCCTCCATCAGAATGTGGTACAGTAAGTCAGTCAAGAACCTATTGTCCATATATTTGCCGCGTGGCTGACTTTTACCAACAAGATGCTTGACAAGCTGTCTGTCAATTCAGAAACCTATAATTATAATAATAATACAATAATATTTGCAATAATACTGTATAACATTCACAGGATCTTATTAAAAGTACAGTAATTTCATAGTAGGTATTTGTGTATTTTATAAAGCCACTGGTTACATGCAATGTTTCAGCAGTCCTAAAGTTCAAGCTTGTGTTTTAGTGTGTACATTTGTAAGAAATATAGTATTTGATACTATGAGAGGTAAATTAAGAAATTAACAAATAATGTAGTTTCTATAGTGGTACTTGATGTATAATGTGTATAACTACTATTGATCCATCAGAAATTTATCTAGATAATTTTTGCTTAGCTGAAGTCATTTTCTGCATGTTGATAACATTTTTGCAGTATGTTAACACGTAGTAATGTTTAAGTTTGGATGGTCTGTGAGAGCTTCGTAGCCACCTGGGTGTCTTCAGGAATGGGAAGTAGATTGATACCAAGGTTTTGTATTTTTGAGGTACAACTTGAAATAATTTGAGAGATACACACCAAGGGGAGAATGCAGGACCTACTGGATTTAAGGCATATAGCTGGGAACATGCATGGTTGTCAACAAAAAGACATATTTATGCATTTATTATAGTTTAAACAAAATTTTTGGATGAATAATTTATACGTTGACCTTATCTGCTGGTTTAGATGAACACAGTACACACCTTGTTTTTTTATACCGAGTATGTAATTTTAAATTCACTATGGCAAGCAATTTTGCTACCCTAGAATGTCTTTCCTAAATTTTATAATACACCCTCTAATATTGCATGATTGTCCAAGATTTTTTTTTTTTTATTATTATTTAGCACTGAACTCCATTTGTGAGGTGTTCACTGCACACCAATGGTTTCTCTCAGTGTGGGTATGTGGATGACTTGGTATGCCAACCCAAGATAACTTCCCGGTTTATCCACGCAATCACTAAAGTAGTGAATAGACTGCCAAGCTGTAGTTTTGCTAGTAAACATAAAATCATGTTATATCACAATAAATTTTATCTAATTAAAATTGTAAAATGGTACACAGTTTTTCCATCACTAGAAACCTTGATAATAACAAATTTGTATTAGATTTCTAATTTTGCATTGCTTAATATAAAGTTTCTAATGGTTTGCCAATAGTATTATACACATTGCACTGTGGTGTTGAGGGGATTTCTCTGCCTTTTTTTTGTCTTGATACCTTGGTTTGTGTCCTGCTCATTATAAGATAAAATTTGCTCATGTAATCTATGTACCTATCAACTTTTACCCTATTTCTATTTAAATGGGATGGGGCAGGTTCACCCATTTTCATATGATCACAATTGTCACATGAATTGTTACTATTCTTGTGTAGTGACAATCTCTTATCACAATCCCTAACTTTCATTTCTTTCCAATGGAGCATTTGTAAAATTTAATTTATATGGCTTGAAACAGAGGCATTGTGCCTATAAAATGTTTGCATTTCAATTGAGTATAGGTAGATTGTATAGTATTTTCATATAAATACTTTTGTAGCTTTTAGAGTAGATCATATTAAGCATGGCAAAGCTAAACAATGTCAGCATCCGTCAAAATGCTGGCTGCATTTTCTTCCCCTCCAGCTATAATGCTTACACACATACACAATTAAACTGCCTATAGTTGGAGAGGTACAAAATTTTATTTTGTTTTTTTAGGCTGTCTTATCACTGACACCCAGAAGCCAAATGTAAATACATGTATTAGAAAAATATAATGGATTGTATTACATTGCAGACATAAAATGTCAGGTTAATTTTGTGTGCAGTACTTTTAGTCATGCAAAGTAAGTCTTGTTAGTTTATGAAGATTGTAACACCAATGAAAGCAACTAATGTTACAGTATAACAATTCATTATAATATCTGAATGAAAATGATGATAAAGCTGAAAGTAACTTTTTAGTGGATTTTGACATTTTCACTTACAAACTGCATGGATACATTATTCATAATAGTCTTGCCTTCTATTCAGGATCTTCATTTTGTTTTGGACAAGTTTTGACATTGATGTCCCCTTATATTGTTTAGTAATCATAACTCAGGTAGTAGGATGATTGTTTCATTGTATAGCACTATACTCTGCTGAAATTTATATATTATACATATATATACTATGACATTTCATTTATTTCATCAAATTCTTTCAATAACAGCAATCAAAAGAACATGCATGTAAAAACACTAAGACTGTTTTCAATGATATAAAAAACCAGTTGTCTTTTCCTTGTATTTGAACTTAAAATTAATTTATATGGCATTCAAAAATTATTCAGGGCTGTTACATTCACATTTGTTTTCATGACAAAAACAGTAACTTTTCAGGTTTGACGATTTATTGTAACAAGTCAAATTTTGTGTGAAATAAATAACTCAAAGTGTGTAGCAAGTGACTTGAGTATTGCCTTTTGGGTGGGTGCAGCCAGAGAAAACAGCCCACCCCAAAGTGTGTGTATTCTGAATCTACTGTTCGAAGAAAATTATACTACTGTGTATATAGCTATTCATAAGAAGTCGCCGCACATTATATTACCACCAATTTATCTATCCTCAGGTGGTAAAAATGAATGGAAAGGGGGGGTAGAAAAACTATTGTATCCCATCTAGAATTAATATAATTACATAGAACTAGAATTATAGAACTAGAACACCTTAGATGTAATACTGTATATCAATTTCAAAACTATTCCATAAATTTGATTGTATGAATTATTCCATAAATTTGAATTTATGAAACTATTTAATACACTTGGATGTATGAATTGTTTTTATTAGGGATCGAGTATACAAACTGCTGCAGACAAAATCATAAATTTGAAAGTGCAAAACGACGCCACACGTGCAGATGCCCGAAACGACGCCATCCGTCCAAATGCCCGAAACGATGCCACACGTCCGAATTCCCGAAACGACGCCACACGTCCGAATGCCCGAAACGACTCGAATTTGAATGCATGAAAATTTCATGAAAATAGCAATATTTCAATTGTCATTTTATATATACATATATACATACATACATACACACATACATACATCACACACACACACACAATGCAAGCACAAAATATTAAAATATGAGGAATATCTTGCTAAATATATGCTGTTAATGCTGTGCCTTTATGTAAAATACAATATCAGATGTTCTGTTGTAGACTAGAACAGGTAAGCATGGCATGGAAATCAAGTTAATTATATTTGATTAGCAAGAAATTTATTTAAAGTACAGTTTAATAAATTTATTAATAAAATTGCAGACAATTTTCATTTCAATTTGGACGTTTATAAGTCAAGTCCTCCTGTCTTTCTGATCCATTATTACCCTTGTTACGTAATTCCCCTGCATAGCAGAGGAAACTGCCTCTTCCTTCTCACATTTATGTACACCTGCCCAGTATAGCTGCAATACAGTTTCACGTAACATCAAATTGGGGGAAAAGACGAGGCCAGTCCTAGGAGCTGCTCTCAGGAGTCGTTTCTAACAACCTTTGCTTAAATGTTGTGTTTAGTTGTTATAACTGGCTATTATACTTATTTGCCTTTTTTCAGAATTTATTTTACAATTTTCATATTTGTGACCGAACATTTACATTACAGGTGTAGTAATTTGTGATCTGTTTATTATTGACGTTTTAGTTAAGTAATGTTTTATGCACAAATTCATGCTCTTAATAGTTCTTCTGAACCATTGCTATATTTTATTTACCCATATTAATTTTGTACTAACAGAAGTAACTCGTTCGGACAGATCACTCCCCCCCCCTCCCCTTGGGCACTTGATCTGTACTTTGTTTTGTCTTGGCATTATCAAGTTCCACTTTGCTGTACGAATTTAGGATGAAAAATTGGGATGCATTTTCTTTCACATCCAGAACCATGTTGTAAGTTCGGGACTTGTACAGCCGTTCTCGTCACAGTGTTAATACACTCCGAACCCCTAAGCCTTCGTTCAAAGTCCACGATTAACTGCTCAGGTACTTAGTGTATTATTCTTTCACAGAGCACAAGGAATGTTGACTCTGCAGTTAATTTCCTAAATTCCAGTAGGACACCTCTTGCCTTTATCCTAAATAGTAGATTAATACTGGCTTGAGTACAGGGTACAGACATCCCTACACGTTTCCCACATTTTACCATCTCAAAAAGTTAATTTATTTTGTGTCACAAAGTCCTTAATAAAATCCAAGACTTCTTGATATTTCAATTTATTATATATAGTACAGTAACTTATCTTGTAAATTTATTGGGTTGCCCGACAGGATAGTTACGTACTTAAGTGTTGCCAGTGCTTTAACAATTATTCTCTAGCATGTTGCCACATCGCATACAAGTCAGTCTGGTCGTCCTTAATTATTGTTCCCCTGCAGAGTACGCGCAATTCTTCCATCATTTAATTCTTTCGCTTAGCCGCCTTCAGTTCCAGCCCAGAGGAGGAGGAGGAACTTCCTAATTTACTTTGTGCTACTAGAGCCGAATTACTAACCATATCCAGAGTATCACACCTCTGTGCAACATGGTGCCACCAAAATCGATCCATATATGACTTTACACCAACTGAAAATGATATCACTTATTTAATATTTTAATATAATAATTTAATATTTAAACAGTGGAGCTAAAATTTACATGAAATACAATACAGTACTTTATATGGGGCTTTTATTTTAACAAGATAAATGCATCAAACACCACACTTTTTAACCTATGTAATTTGCAAAACTCCAATAAATTTGTTAAAATTACATGAAAATTTATATACAAAAATTCAAGAGCAGGAATCTATTTTTTTTAGGTGAGGTTTCCTATATTACAGCATGTACTTTCAAATTAAATTTCTTCTTTTTTTCTTTTATATGTCAGTGAGTTTACTGCCCAGGGAAGTTTACTGCCCAAACTTCTCAATTTTGAAACTGGGATGTTTACTGCCCAGTTTACAATTTACAAAGAAACTGGTCACCCCATGATTATGAAAATCTGAATCGAGTTTACAAATTCATTATCACACTGACAAAGAAAATATACCCCAAGTGAAGAGTTTTGTATTAGGTTGTGCGATACAACCAAGTCAATGCACTATCCCAGCCCACACCACCACCTCTCGCATACAACCGAGTACAGTTCCACTACCAGAGCAAACCTGCCATACACGACAAATATATGCTTCCAGAGCCAACCCCCCTTCCCTCCCATGCCCCCAAGCAAGCATCCACCAAACAGTGTTTGTATAAACCTATTTCACTAATCTTCACACAAGAATACTTTGACTAATATTAATAATGTATATCAATCTGAATATTTGTTTACGATTCCTCACCTTAATATCCAAATGTCAGCATTTCAAGGTGAGGCATTGCTTTTTTATTTATTTACATTAAATGTTCCCCTTGTAATCTGCATTTTAAAAACTTAACCTAATATCAATAAATAAGCATTAACATTACAGCACTGTAATTACAAAAGCATTACAAAAATAACAATTTGCCCATTAAAAGTCAAATTACAAACAAAACTCAAATTAAGAAACGTTAATGTGTAATTACAAAACATTACTTGCTAAATGCCATACATATCCCTGGTGTTAGTCCGAGCTTGGGTGAGGACAACTTGAATGTCTTCCTTCCGAAGTTTAGCCACTTGAGCAGCCACATGAATGGCCATTCCTGGGTGAGACAACTGCCCAGAATTGCTGTACTGTGGGGGGATTAAAAAAACAATTATACATCTACACAATAAACTTTGACAAGGCAGTGCAATACTGTGCTTATTAACCCGCAACATGCGGATACACACTGCATTCTTCCTTCCGACCACCTCTTGACCAATATATCCAATCCCGAAAAAATTTATGTTACATTTATTAAGCTTGCATTAAATAACTTTTTGTTTCAATGATAGACTACAAGCACATTTGAAAAGTTCCTGGGGCTTTTATGGTTTTGTTCTGGAGCAGGAATAAATCAAGGGTTATTTGTATTTTAAAATTACATGGTGGGGAAAAAAAAAAAAAAAAGCACACAGTAGTGCATACAAGGCATCCATAATCTCACGGATGAGCCAGAGTCATTTGTCTAAGGAAGAGTTTATGCACTTTGGTGAAATTAGAAGAAATGAGCCACAGAGAAGGCATAACTTACACACAATGGGCGGAAGTACGGAGCATCAGTTTCAAGGAGAAGTCGGTTAAGGGGTAAGCGCCTCACAACTTCTCTAATATTCCAGGATCGCCGACTTGAAACGTATGTCACTAAATTTGTGAATCCAAAATACACCCTACTGAAGGATTCCAGCCACTCCTCAGCCTCTATCCAGGTTTCAGTAAAACAGTGCCGGTGAATTAAATAGTCCCTGGGAACAACCTGAAAATGACACTTAAGTTATTTAAGCCTGAAATTCATCTGGAAGAAGTGCAGAACATAACATACTTTTCATGTTGGTTTCAAAAAAATATTTTGAAGAACAATCTATTCCCAGTTTTGTAAGTTTCTCCATTAAATATACTATTACATGAAGCAATTATAATTAAATTTTCAAGTACAAACCTCCTTTAAAATTTTAATACAATCCTTATGAGCATCACGACAATGGATTACAACTGGCTTCTTAAATTCCATAGCGATCTCCAATTGTTTACGAAATACATACTGTTGTAGTTCACGAATCTCATTGTTTCTGAAACAAGGCATATTATAATTAGGCCAAAATAGTAAGTCATTTGTATATAGTTATCCAACCTATGCTGCGTAACTCGAGAGGTGCTCAAATCACCCCATAGTAATTGCCCAACCTGCTCTTATATTTCCAAAGCAATTTGAAGAATGCAGTCAAAATTTAAATGAACAGATGGGTGTATGGCGAAATGATCTACCCCTCGAGGCTTCTGTAGATAATCAGCCATCTTAATCTTTAGACAGAGGTTATGGAGATATGGTCATACCATACCATACATGTACAAAAAATGAAAAAAATGTCAACAAAATTTTCATTACAGAATTATTATTTTGTATGCAGAATATAAGAAAAATAAAAAAATACTGTAAGGGAATATTTATTGTATCACTGGGTGGAGGCACTAAGTCTATGCCTGGGACTTGTCAACGTGGTGCTCGACTTTGCCACGCAACCAGATTTATTCTCCGATGTTTCACCAATTGTTTTACCACTTTATTTACATCCCCAGAGCTTTTATATCCATGAACAAATCCACAAGGGCCGTGACGAGGATTCGAACCTACGTCCAAGAGCATCCCAGATGCTGCCTTAATCGACCGAGTTACGACATGGTAAAAGAATTGCAACCAGAAATTCTACTGAATTTACTTGGATCTGGCCCTTGTGGATTTGTTCATTTGATGCATCACGCTATTGTGATTTCTGTGTGATTTAAATCCATATTTGCATCACACATGTAAAACCCAGACAATAATTGTTTAAATGATCATATGATGATGATTGCATTTCCCTAGTAACATTCATGACTACAACTACATTTGTACCATGAAATAGTAGCAGGATTTTTTGCATGGGACAAGGTTAACGCCATTGCATCCACAGACCTATTATATCCATATTTGCATGATACATGTAAAACCCAAACAATTTTGTAAATCTTTTTATGATAACCGCATTACCCTGTGAATCAACAACTGACGATAACCATTGTCTAAAGTTTAAATCTCGTGTGCATCACTTTAATAACAAATGTGACCGATATATTTCCAATTTTGAATAATAATAACAAGGGGGGGTTGAGGACACTAAAAATAAAGCCACTAAATGCAATAGGCTGCAAAGCAAGAGATACCCTTTGTGTGTATAGGTAATTCAGCCATGTATAATACAATATTTATAATATAATAATACAATACAATTTGTAATACAATATTTATAGGCAAGACATACTAAAATTTTTATAAATCAGTACTTTTAAATTTCAACCAATCTGCTTTAATGTGCTCAAAATGAGTTCAATGTATTCAAAGCAACCAAAAAAGGAACATACTTTGATGAATAATCTAGACCAATTTCTCCTAGAGCAACTGTCTTCTCATTTTGAAGTGCGTGTCTAAGGTAGCCTTCTTCCTCGTCGCCAAAGCTCTCACAGAAATGCGGATGACAACCAAAAGCAGCCCAAACATTGGACGTAGACAAGATATCCTCCCACCAGTTTATCTGCAGGTTAAAAAAATTAAAATAAAAAAATATTTAATATTTAAAAAGACCTACATGTCTTTCAATCACACAAGGTGAATGAGAAAGATACATTATTACCAAGGTCAGCGTATGAAGATATGAACTGGAGAATGCAAATTTGAGAAATAATTTCAGTGTGCTGCAATGAATCCAAGGAATGTAATAGATGCAAAGATTTCAATTTTTTTACATACTGATGAATTATCAATGGGTGTGGTGGAGAAAAGACAATTGGAATGGTAAGTAGCAGGCTGAGTCTACTGTGGCACCATTGTGAAATTAGCACAGGGGGAGCTACTGAGGGAGGGGTTGGGGGTCCCCATTTGGAATTCAAGCACAGAATATCATGAAATGCTTTTTTATAGTGTCACCCTCAGTAGATTTTTGTTCTTCTCTTCTCCATGGGGTGGTACAGTTTATTTTCGCCAGTTACTAAATTAGGGAATTGGCTGGGTGGAGCCTCGGATGACCTGGTCTGTCAGGCACAATAGGGATGGTATGTTGACATCCTGGTAACAATTGTCTACACATTGTCTTCAGGTTACAACTTTCATTCAAGCAGTGGCTCATTTTATTGCTCGTGCTCTCTGGTGGCGTTTCTCAGTTTTGGGTAGATTTCTCAAATTCATTTTACCTTCTAGTGCAGGCCAGATTCTGGTCCTGGCTTCTTGGTAGGCTAGGGTGGGTCTCCCGAGTTTCTGGTGATTCTTCCTACGGCAAAGCTTAGTTAACAGGTGCTTAGCAAGCTATTTATGCATCAGAAGCTATGGAAAGTTATATAAAGCAAGAAAACTTAACAAAAACATCTTACCATAGTGCTGTTGGGATTATTTACAAAACTTAAGTCTCGAATGACAATTTTGACACCAGCCAGAATTCAGCAGTACTGTATGCATATACAGTAGTACATTTTTGTGACACTAATTACATATGAATTATAATACATTACATTTAAGAAGCTAAACTTACACACAAGAAAATGAGGAGACGATGTTTTCCATTCTTACACCTATTATTACCCCCCTTGACACCCCCTTTATTACGCCCATCCCATCCATATCTTTTGCCTTGCTCTTTCCTTCCTCTAAGAATTTCTTCCTCCTCACCTCTCTCGTCTTACTTAATGCCCATGCCTCCCACGCTCCCATAACAATTGACTTGATACTGGTCCAGGACGGACCGAAATGTCGTCTTCTCATTTTCTGGTGTGTGCTTTAGTCTTCAAATCTTAAGCCACATGATTGTGACTCATCGTCTGCATTATATTTAATATTAATGTACTCTATATATAAAAAATAGATAAAATAAATATTATGAACAAAATTCTAATTTGCTTATATTAATTTTTGTTTTCCTTGTAGTTATATTAATACCAAAGAATAGGAATTTTTATCAGACATCTAGTGAGAGCAGAACACTTCAGAGCCAAACTGCTGTAAATTACTTACCCCTATTGTAGAACTTTATTCCCAAAGGGCCGACAAAAACAACAAAAACACAAGGTAATCCATTCAAAATAAATACAGTATATCCATATAACTAATCTTTCTAAATAATGGTGTAAATTAACTCGCCAAATCTACTCTAAATTTTTTATATAAAAGTCTCATTTCTGGAGGAGGGTAAGTGGAAAGTTAAATTTCATACAGTAATTTACTTCCAATCATATTTAGCCCCAATAAATAATCTACTTTCTAAATGGAATGTGATAAAAGTTGGATAAAATGTATCTTAAAATACATGAAGGAATACTTACCTTTTTAAATGTCCAGGGTTTGCAGAAAATGGCAACACAGCCTTCATAGGAGACAGGAAATGGGTCAGTACTTTGACTAAGAGACTGGAAATTTGCGTAAGAGCCCGTGTAACTCGTGCGTTGGAATAAGAAGTCAAGATGACAGTGCGTGTCTATAAAACCTGGCTTATATCGAGTTGTTTGGAGTTCTTTTTCATCATACTCCAACTGAAAAGACAAACCTTAATTATGTATAAATATATATATACTCAATACACTTAAAAACACATCAATCATCATATCACTACATTATTTGTACCTAAAGTCATTTGTATGCAGAGGGGTACCCTGAGAACAGGAGAAAAATGGGGGGGGGGGTGTTGCTTCCAAAAAATTAAAAGGTTACTACTAGCCAGGGATATTTTACTGTCCTTGCGCAACCTTATTATATATTATTTATACTGTATTCTTACCCTATTTTTATAATACTCACCCATCTCTATTTTACATTATTCTCACCTGTTTTGTAACACAGTATTAACTAACCTTCCATTTAATAATATTCTCACCCAATCACAAAGTATTTCCTTCTACTTACAAAAGTGAACTTTTTGATGGGAGTGAATGCAGCTGGTTTTCTTTCACTCCGAGAACCATTTGCTTGCCTCCAGAGCCTTGTGTGTGCACTTTCTTTGCTAGTAGATTTTTTGTCATGATGGGGTTCATTATCTAGAGGAGAGAAATAATTTGACAATGGATAGACAGCATCTAAGGTGGAACTGCATTTTGCATTTGGTTTTCCCACCTCCCTCCAATTTCCTTGCAAGTTACGACCGCTTGTGCTACTAAACAATTCAGTCCGCTTATGCAAGTAACTAAATTTGGATGGCAAATTCTGAGCCGTTCTAAATGAATAATTGGTTGCTTTTGAGTTGCCCTCACTAGTTTGTTTAGGGTATGTAAAATTCAAGGAACTTTGTGGAGAGTGCATCGCCTCTGGCTGATCAAATTCACAACAATATTTTCCATTTGGTAAAGATTTTAAATCGGATCTGTTCAACAATGGCCATTCTTCATGACTTTCATCACTTGAAGGTCTGGTCTTCTTGCTAAGCTTACTCATGTAATCATCTTTCCTTTTCTTACTCATGAAGGACACCTCTGATGGAGATTTCACCACAGTCAAAACTGGAGTACATGTATTTTTCTTCAGGTCACAGATGTCCGAAGTAATTTCCTTTGCTTGATATTTGTTATTTCTATAAATTTCACTCTCATTAGAGCTATCTTCCTTTGTGTGGCATTGATAATCATACAATAATTTACTTGTATTTGAAGGACAGCCTTTCAATTTCTGCTCAACTTTCTCTCTCTTCGGCAACGCAAGAATGTCTGCTTCACCACTACCATGGACGTCAATTTTGCCATCAGCATGTACGTTTAAGCTAAAGGGCGAGTTGTCATTATCTTGGCAGTCAAGATTCCGCCAAAAATATTTTTCAATAGAACGTTTTTCAAGAGTAATGTTAGCATCTGGCTGATAGTTACCAAGGCCTAACATATAAGATTCAGAATATTTAACGTCTGAAGTCAAATTGAAAGTTTCCTTAGGGGTGTGACAAAAGGGAGCGTGTGAACTGGCATGTTTCTCCTCTATATTGGCCGAGATAGCCAAGGTGTCATGCTGCTGTGAACCACACGCATCCGATGAATACTGAAAAGGAAATCTATTGCAAGATTTCCTCGAAGACAAAAATGTGTTATCTGAAGGACATTCCATTGGAGAGAGCGGCATAGGATGCTTACAAGTCATTTTTGCCATATCAGCTTTATAGCTATAGTCAATTTTTCCACTTCTTTTGAATAACTGGGAACAACTTTTCCTTTTTTTAACAAAATTGCTCCTAACAGCAGAAATTGCTGACGATTCCTCTTCACTTTCATCTTGAGAGTGTAGACGAACATCGAAATCTTCCTCCACGTCAACTGCAATCTTCTCATCCATCTGAAAGGAAAACTTATAAAGTACTGGTATGCTAGGTACTGGTATGCATAAGAAAATAATGTTTAGTAATTTGATTTAAACCATTTTTCTTATTAGTGAATACAGCATGCAGATTTTACAACAGAAATATATATAATATATTATACAGGCCAAGATGTGGTTCACGCCATCAGCCACGACCACGTGTCCTGGGTTCAATTCCCAAGCACGACACTGTCGGACATGTTTCCTTTCACCTGATGGCTCTGTTCACCTAGCAGTCAATGAGTATCCAGGAGTTAAACCAATCTTGCAGTTTGCATCCTGGGGAAGGACAGTCTATGGCCAAGGAGGACCCCGATGAACCTCAATGCAGGTTTCCTGTTCCCAACAATGAGAAACCAGGAAACCACAAGCAGGCATTGCAGTACTGGGTGGAAATAACAGCTATGTATGTAGTATGACATCTTAAACAAATTTGTCCTTTGTTAGACTGAAAATTGTTTAACCCTTTTGCTGCAATACTCTATCAGTCAAATAAATAAGTGGTCCTTCGCTATCACACTGCATTTTTCTGCAGGTACCTAAAACAATTTTCCCACAACACCAAAGTTCCACCATGTCCTTAAGAATTTAAAACCGACATCTGAACCAAGTATGTGCTGCAATCTTTTGGCAATAGTCAAATATTAATTTAAGAGCAAAATATTTTGACAGGTACCACCCAATATGTCTAAATGCCTCTCAAACATCTCTATTCTCTGCCTCTTGAGGATTTTTTTTTTTTTTGGTACAATCATTTAAAAATCCTGTCCATTCTATTATTCCTGAGGTTTTTGTGATAATAGGTCTTCTAACGCTTCCATCATCCAGTAGCACAAGGTTTAATGCTTAGTCTTACCTGGCGCTTCTCCAGCTTCACGGAAAGGTGAATGGTGTTAGTAGGTTAGATTACAGGAAGGATACAACTTAGAGAGAGAAGAGCAGGTATGGTATCCTGGATACCTGACTTGTACAATATTCAATACAGTACATGGATCTAATATTAAAATGGATCAGAATGGCATCCGAAAATGTACACACAGTATTGTTACTTTTATAGCACTAAGGTAAAATTACTGGTCTACAACCACTGAAAATAATATTGATTAAGTTGGATATAAAAAATGCAACTAACAACATTTTGGAAGAACTTAAGATAAGAATGGAAAGGAGACATTGAGCTAGAAAGTAACATCACAAGCTAGCCTGTAGATGATATCCTCATGAAATTAACCAAAATATGTAGCTGACTGTACTTAAGACACTTGCCTAGTGTTTGGCTATTAGTTAAAAAGAATATACAATTACATGTTATATTAATTATGACTCGCTACTTGCCTGTTGATTCCAGGGATCAATGTCCCTGCACCCTGGTCTCTGACCAGGCCTTCTAATTACTGATCTGATACACAAGGCAGTTTGATGTGGCTGCTCGCAGCATGATGTACTAGTCACAGCATGGTTGATCAGGTATTCTTTGAAGATGCTTGTCGAGTTCTCTTTTGAACACTGAGAGGTTGGCCAGTTATGCCCTGTATGTGAAGGGAAGCGTGTTGTTGAAAAGTCTTGGGCCTTTGATGTTGGTAGTTTTTTCTCTCTCTCAGCCTGCCTATTGCAACTCTGCTCTTCAGTGGAGCTATTTTACACATCCTACCATACCTTCTGGTCTTGTGTGGTCTTATCTGTGTGTGCAGATTTTGAACCAGTCCTAATATTTTCCAAGTGTAAATTATTATGGCTCTCTCCTGCCTGAGCTCTAGGCAATGCCGATATAACATTTTTAGGAGGTCTTAATTTAGATGTTTTATTAAGTGGATTCTATTGGTAAAGGATCTTCGCAAGCTCTTTGCATCGGCAATTTATCCAGTTTTGAATGTGGCTGTTAGTATGCAACATTATTCCACTCTGGTGACCACTAATGTCTTAAAAGTATCATGTCTTAAAAGTTTATTTCTTGTTTGGAAGGTTCTTGTTATCCAACCTGTCATTTTTCTTGCAGTTGTGCCCAACTTTTGTTGCCTTCTTTAAAAGGTCACATGATTACCCCCAAATCTTTTACATTGCTTTTTCTCTCAACAGTGTGGTTTGACTTTTATACAGTATGTGGTTTGTTGTTTTAGTTTTCTCCATAGAGCAGTAATTGGAACTAGTCCTCTTTAAACATCAGGTATTTTCTGTGGCCCACTGGAAGACTTTGCTAAATTCACACTTCAGGTTTGCTCTGTTCTCTATGTTGTCTACTCGTGAAAATTAGTGTCATCTGCAAAGGATGATACAGTACTCTATAGAGAGAGTGTATCCTTGGCTATCTGATACGAGGATGAGGAAAAGTACCATAGCAAACATGGTACCTTAGGGAACCAACCTTGAGGTGCTCCCGGGGCTTAGCGTCCCCGTGGCCCGGTCGTCGAAAAGGCCTCCTGGTTGCTGGACTGATCAACCAGGCTGTTGGATGCGGCTGCTCGCAGCCTGACGTATGAGTCACAGCCTGGTTGATCAGGTATCCTTTGGAGTGCAATACTCCAATACCAAGCTCATGGTGGATTATTCAGATTTTACTCACCATCCAAATTTTATCTAAAATGTATAAACAAAGCTTTGTAGGATACATTTGCAACCAAGAACACTGGAATCTTCCTGATATCATTGAACAAAAAGTATAAGCTTTCAAGCCGAAATGCAAGATTTTTTCCAAGTACACTATGGCACAAACACCAATCACATTATTTTTTACCTATAGTGTATTCTTATTATAATTTTTTTTCCATTTCTTGTTATAAAACAAGAAATTGACAGTCACAAGATATCTCCCTACCCAGGATACCTAAATTGTGCTAGTTGCTGACCAGAACTATTGCTTTAAGCTGAAAATACCAGTATAAATGAAGAGGATAAAGTTTGATACAGTGAATATACATCTTACATTTTTCTGGCTTTCCCGAGTGAAGTCAAAATCTTGCATTTCCATGTCTGCTCGTTTTGCACAAGGTACCTATAAAGAAAAATGTAATATGACATTACCTTACGGGAATATGTTTATGAGCTGATGCCTGACCTCACAAGTACAAATATAGGCAACCATTTATAAGTAAAGGACATAGATGCAGAACAATCAATTTTTTTTTTATACATTTCAAAGTACTGAACAGTCTATAAAATACTATACAGCATATTTTCTAGCTTAAATAGGTTTAAAAACACACATTCAGATTGTGGGTGATCAAGGGAGGTGTCTCCAGTCCCAATGCCATTACATCTCTTGATACAAACATTATTACTGTAATATTGTTAAAAATAAATGCGCCACTATTTCCCCTGCAGAGCAAATATTTGATGCTTTACCTTAAGAAAAAAGAATGCTGAAAATTGAAGTGCAGATCACGAGTCACAATAACAAGACTGACGAGTTGACAATTCAATTTTTCACTCGGCTGCACCTGCTAGAGCTCAAGAAGAGGTGGTACAGTATAAGCATTTTACCGTCTTCAAGATTATAGTAACAGAAAAACTATAAGCAGGCTGCCATTGGAGAGCAGATGGGTCTTCATGCCACCTTGAGCACAGTCATGAATTAACCACCCCTAATCCTTCCATGGAATCGTTATCCTACCAAATAAGGCAGCAGGCTTCTCCTCCATGTAACCCTGGGGCCAGACTCATCAGGAATTTACCCAACCACTCAGGAATCTTATAAATCTTTCCTGAATTATGGCAGCTTTGTTTACATTTATTAGACAGTTTATGAGCTTGGAAGTTTCACAACCCAAGGTTATTATAAACAGGATATCATTGACTGGATATTGATCATTGATATTCAATATTCTCCAGTCAGATTCATTCTCATTTAGCACGACTGCTATTTTAACCTTTGTTTTATCCAGTCTAGTATTCTACCATTTAACCTTTAAAGTACAGCTGGAAAAGATCAAGGTAAATGGGGAGGACTTTCGACAAGTTGTCCTGTCCATTACCGTCCTTTCCTTGTCAAGGCCACTAGTGTTAGTGGCTCTAAAGTAAACTCTGGCAAATTATGTATTCCATGTGCCTGTAATTTCCTTGCTAGTTTTACATGTGGTACCTTATCAATCACTTTAGCAAAATTCATGTATACTATATCCACCAAAAGTCCTTAAAGTAGCTGGTTATCTTTTCCAAAAATGTTAAATATATTTCAAAATACAGTCCTTTGCTATGGCAGCCAGATACTGTACCAGAAAGAAGAACAATCATGGTGTCAGTTTCTAGAAGCATCATTTATTACTCATAATACACTGTTTAAAAGTCTTAATGAGATTACCCTTGTCATGCCTGGTTTGTACCTTGGAGGTTACCTTGAGGTGCTTCCAGGGCTTAGCATCCCCAAGGCCCGGTCGTCGACCAGGCCTCCTGGTTGCCGGACTGATCAACCAGGCTGTTGGAGGCGGCTGCTCGCAGCCTGACGTATGGAGTGTTAAGTCTTAAAAGTGAGGTCACCATGAATGAATACTGTAGCTGAATGACCACTTTTTCTTTAAATAAAAAAGTTATTGAGAGTTTATAGTTTGATAGGCTTTTTTTTTTTACTGTAAATACTACTATTTATGAAAAGTAATTTTCTGCTTCAATAGGCTGCAAGGTTGTGCATAGTTGATATAGTAGATGTGGTGCATATTGTTGGATCTTACACACACATGCAAGGTCTGCCAATTAGATGCATTTTTCAGGTTTGAATTGCCAGTCTTCAATCTAGTCACTCAAATATGTTTCTATTTAAAACAAACTGGTTAACATTGGTTATGAAATAGGGTTGCAGATCTGTGGAATAATTTGCAGAGTTGAATCATGGAAGCAAACTTATTGGCTAAATTTATGTATTCACTTTGCAATTATAATTTGTTTTGCAATTAGTTTTTGTCTGGGGACAAGTAGCATGTAAATGTACTGTTTGCAATTAAGGCAATATCGAGGTCAACATCCTATACCCAAGGTTGAACTACTAATCCTTCCCAGGATGCAATCTCACAACAGTTGTCAAACACCCTGATAACTATTTACTGCTAGGTGAAAGGAAGCGAGGCCAACCACTTCTGTCCCACCTAGGATTTGAACTCAAGATTCCCGAGGGTGAGCTCGAGAAAACACCCAAGGCCATCTGCATCGTACATTATTCAAATTCATAAAGTGACAGACACCAATGTGTAGCCATCAATGATATAAGCTCTCGCACTCTACCAATAACCGTTGGAGTGCCACAGGGCAGCATCCTGGGACCTCTTCTACTTCTTAAATATATCAATGATCTGCCTAATGTCTATAATATTCTTAAACCTATATTGTTTGCTGATACTACCCTCATCTATTCAAACCCCAACCCACATACACTAAATAATGTTGTGAATAATGAATTAAAAAAAAAAAGTCCACTTATGGATGTCAACAAACTAACACTAAATATAGAAAAGACCTACTACATCTTATTTGGAAGCAAATCATCGAATGCAGTTCAGCTACAGATAGACAACATTAACATCAGTAATAAAAATGATGGAAAGTTTCTTGGCCTATTCCTAGACAAGAGACAACTTCAGCACCCACATTCAACACATAACTAAAAGTCTCTAAAACAGTTGATATACTCTCCAAAATCAGATATTATGTTCCTAACTCTGCTCTCTCATTATATTATGCACTAATCTATCCCTATCTTAGTTATGGTATCTGTGCATGGGGGTCAGCCACTGCAAATCACCTCAAGCCAATCATCACCCAGCAAAAATCTGCTATCAGAATAATAACAAACTCTGCTTTCAGACAACACTCAGCCCCCTTGTTTAAATCCCTTAACATGCTAAATATTAACTCCTTCCACACATTCTCTTGTGTCAACTACATTTACAAAACCCTGTTCTTAAATGCAAACCATGCTCTGAAACTATCCCTGGACAGATGTAATAGGACCCATTATCACCACACCAGAAATAAATTTCTTTGATATCCCCAAGGTCAAACTTAATCTATGTAAGCACACTATGCAAATAAAGGGACCTAGTCTATGGACCTCACTCCCTAATGAATTGAAAAGCTGTCAAACGTTTGCCTCATTCAAAAATAAAAACAAAAAATACCTAATTTCATCTTCATAGTTTCCTACACTGTGCTTTAAATTTGCTCTGTATATAGTGTTACCCAATCTCCCAATCTTTATATACTTAATCCAAACAACTTTACCATTGTGATCATTGCCGTCTTCTTTTATGTGCTAGCTATATGCTGTATTGTGCCTATTAATGCTTGTCAAACTACCATTCAAGCTGTCAATGCAATCAATCTGAGCTACCTGTGCTTTAATATACCTACAAATTTCTCTCATCTTTTACTTTTTTCTTGCAATGTACCTGTTATTTTTATCAATTTTGCTAATATTTACCTACTTAAAATTTTTCTTAGATTAAGGACCTGCCCGAAATGCTGCGTGTACTAGTGGCTTTACAAGAATGTAATTACTATGCTATCTATGTATCCTCACAATCCCAATGTACCTTCTTGTATATATACAAATAAATAAGGTGTATATATATATTTATAAATATACTTTTTTGTATAAAAGGTTTTACAATATTTATATAGCTGAAACTGCTTTTCACAAAACCTCTGTGCCATGGGATTGTCCCCACAAGATTGGAAATATACAAAATGTCACCATTGTTTAAAGATTAAATGTTAGAATACTAGACTGTATAAAACAATGGTTAAAACAAAAAGTTATGCTAAATGAGAATGAATCAGACTGGAGAAATGAGTGGGGGTACCACAGGGGTCCATTTTGGAGCCAACCCTTATTGTCATATACTGTAATACTGTAACAATGACACGAGAATAATACATCAAATTTGCAGATGACAGATTTATGGTTAAGTGTAAACTGAAAATGATATTGAAGCTTTTCAGAGAGATCAGCATGAAAGCCACAAATGGTCAGAAGACCGGCAAATCGTTTTTAATAACAAATGCAACACATTGTATGCACAGCATCATAGGTCACAATAACCCTATTAAAAACAATACATTGCAGCAGATAGATGAAGAAAGGACCTTGAAGCAAAACTCCACTATTCACTGAAAGATGCACAACTGGTAGGAGCAGTAATAAAAAAAAATATATATATAGAAATAAAAATAACCAAACCCTAGGAATAATCAAGTGTACCTGTGACTAAGGAAAAGAAGGTAGCAATTCAATTGTATAATTCTCTGGTATGCCCCCATTTGGATTACTATATCCAGGAATGGAGGCCTTATCTACAGAAAGACATGGCTGCTCCAGAGCAAGTGCAACATCAGGCAACAAAAATCATTCCTGAACCAAGTCAACTTTCATACCAAGAATGGTTGAGAGCCACAGGGTTAACACTGCAAACCCAGCATATGATACAGCCTTTTTCATTGAAACTAACTTAAAATACTGAACAATTTGGAGAATGTTGATTAGACAATTCCTTCAAAAGGTCAGATGTAACACGAACATGGAGCAACAGTATCAAGCTCAACAAGCAACAATATAGAACTGAAAGTAGATGTTTTTTCACCCACAGGTTCACTTTAGATAGTTTGTTTAAAAAAATCCCAGCTGTGTCTGGGTACAAGTGACAAGAAAAACAACCCAGTGGGTTTTCTTCCTATTGGGGAGTGTTGTACATGCTGCTATAGTGATGTGTCCACTCACAGGATGAGTGGCGTTGCCCAATAAACTCACCTCTTGGGGCAAAATTTAACATTTAAATTTAGGGTTATACAGTACTGTATACTGACGGAACTGCCTACCCGCCAAAGGCGTAAATGCCAAAACTGAAATTTTAATATCCAACTGCAAAAAAATCATCAGGGCAAATGAGGATGAGGGAAACCTTTGACAAGCAGCAGGCTTCCTGTTCTTGTCGAGGCCGGTAGTGTGTCGGTGGCCTCTGGGTGTACTCGGGTAAAATATTTAAGATCTACAAAAGGATCAAAGATTGTCATGGCTTTGTAGACAGTATTTGAACATTTTATATAGCCACCAATTATGAAGTGTTGAGGACACGACTTGAAATATGAAAATATACAAACTAATTAGAGATAATAACAAACTTTAATGTGAACTTTGAGGCCCTGTGCTTTTTGAAAACATGTCAGACCTACGCTACTGTGATGGGGGCCAACAACCGTCTAGTGCTCGAGGCCTAATAGAGATTTTCCATACCCCAAGATGATTAAGATACACTCACCGAGGAGACGTCATATTAATTGCCAGCCACTCACCTATACGCACACCTTGAGCACACACAGGCGAGTGCAGCCTCGTATGGCCCTCATACTAGGAGAGCACAGCCACTCTAAATTTCTGTATCTCCGCTAACATTGGCACTGCCAAAGCTAGGTCAGCAACTACGGGCTCACCATAGCCCGTGCTACTTGGATCTTTTAGTTCCAGGTAGCGAATCTTTAACAACAACATAGGTCAGCACCCACCCACCTATGCCTTCTTCAAGGGTACTGAGTGTAGTGTCGACCTTCTTCATCCACGCTGACCTCAGCTTTAATCCCTTTGTGGGCGTGACACACTCCACACATACACAGCCTCGCTCCTGTGCCAGGTAAGTCCACTACGGGCTCACCATAGCCCGTGCTACTTGCAACTTTTGTTCTCAGTAGCTGAATCTATAACAAGTGACACTGTCCTCTCACAGCCGTGAAGCAGGGTCGGCGAGGGCAGTGACCCCTCGTGACCCCCAGAGCCTCCTGTACCAGACACATACCAAAGGTCACACTCTTGCCTCCAGTAACTTACCAAAGGTACTTACTAACACACTGCTCCTCAGCTCACTGAAACGTGTGTGTGTGTCCACAGACGAAGATAAATGTCACCGTTGAAGGAGGATAACATGGTAGCGTGAGGTGAAGAGTGGGTCTGGCAAGTGTCCCGGCCAGACTGTGGCTCCTGGGCCCTGCCTTACCCCCAGCGTCCGTACGTCACACTAACCACCTCACTACGTTTTCTGCACCCTAAACTATTTTTTTTTCAGAAATAACCAAACGAAATAGATTGCATAAATAAATTTTTGTATTTGCACTTCGTCTATGTTTCAATTATATTTATTATAATTATGATGTTAAAATACAACTAGACTTGACCCCCGTTGCAGTGCCAATTAAATTGAGTATGATAATAACACCCTTTTCATGTATATGTTAGAAAAAGCCTTCACCCTTCTCGTGGACGACTGGCCCACTGGGATATGTTGGGCATGGTGGCCAAGAATGGCTTCAAACTGCATAAAGATGCTTCCGTAAATAACTAACTCTTGTTGCCACTTCTGGTAACAAACTGCGAAACTGAACTTCGTAATTTCGAAAACATCAACCTTCTGTAGGTCTACAAACATTTTTTCACAAAACTCTAACCATTTATAGTACTGTCCAATGCTAACCCACAAGAACTAACAACCTTTGGCTCACTAAAGGGGTATTCAAATCAGTAACTAAGAAATATGAATATGATAAGAAATACAGCCTAGGAATCATTTCTAGAGTTTGCTATTTAAAGACTAACGCTCCTCTACTGTCAATAAAGAAGCAGGCATTTTTACCACAATTGACTACTTCCTGTAATCCTGCTAATACACCTTGGAGTTCAGCCTGCGTTGAAGAGACATTGTCAGTTAAGACGTGTCCAATAACAGTATCTACAGTGCTGATGTCAGTGTACTCCCTGATCAAGACTCCACATCCTGCCTTCCCATTTCTAGCTACTGACCCATCACTATATACATGTAGAGTATTTTCTGTAGGTAATTTTCTAATTATACAATCATATACTACCCTCAGCTCTCCTATCTCATACATACGTTTTTCTTTTGCAAGGGATTAATTACAACATCAACATTACAATCCTCCCATGGTGGTATGAATTGTCTCTTAGGCAGAGCAGTACATTCTGTAATAGCATCATACTTTATAACATTTGAGCATAAGGTACTCGATCATATATGCTCTCTTCTTTATCAACATTGTTCATTACTTCCCACCTTTCGTACTGAGAGGATTAATTTCATTAGCTCCCCCACCTCTCATTAATCTAATGGCAGAGGCTACATTTATCTCTGAAATTCTATCCCCAATCATTAATACTCTTCAGATTCAACTCCATCCTCATTGTCTCAATCATAGCATTTCTTGGGCATCCTAAGATAATTCTCATGGCTTCATTTTGTAACTTCTCCAACTTGCCCATCCTGCCTTTACCAAAACAAGAAATGACAGGTGCTACTAGCCTACTCTATCCCTTTGAAATGTATCTCTTTCTTGTCTCAATAAACATACTTGAACTTGAGTATCTCTCAGATGCTATCTTATTCATTAATACATTAAACAGGGTGGGTCTCAACACTCCTCCCTGAGGTGTGACGAGTTCCTAAGACCTCACACCTGACATATAACCTTAATACCACACCTGAGTCTTCCTTTCGTGAAGATTAATCCTCTATCCAGCGAAATAATCTCCCTTTAACATCAAGACCAGCTAGTTCATAGCTGAAAGACCAACAAAGATAACCTCTTTGTTGGCTTTATCAAAAGCTCTTTGTAAATCAATAAAAATTTTATACTAATCATTATCATAAGCTAGACATTTAATGATACAGTCAGAGGTACTTTTGCCTTTGGGGAACCCGAACAAATTACTAGACAGCTGATCACCTATTATATATAAAAGTCTACTTAAAATTATCCTCTCCATCATTTGACAAAAACACAAGGTTAAGGACACAGGTCTGTACTCTCTATTGGCTTTAGGGATAAGGATGATCAAAGCTTTTTTTCCATTTACTAGGAATACTGCCTTCTTTATAACTAATATTAAAGAGGTCTAACAGTGGGCTTTTCGTCATAATGGCAAGTTCATTAACTATTTAATAAAAGCACGAACGATGCACTTATTAGTATGATTAACTTGATACATACAGCTCTTGATAAAAATGAGTGCCCTGTTGGGTTATTTGTGGACCTACGTAAGGCTTTTGACACTGTCAACCACCAAAACCTCCTTCTTAAACTACATCATTATGGAATCAGTGTTAATTTTCGTGATTTACACACACAAGAGGAACAATGTAATCAAATAATAGATATATAAATTTAACATTTTATTAATTAAAGGTTTGTTTATGTACAGACACAGACCAGCTGACCCGCAGCGAGACCTTTTGAAGTTAACCTTATGGTACTATACTGTAACGGAATTCAAATATGGAGCTATCGAATACTGTAGCAACATTACACTTTTGTGATGAACGTATAGAGAGACAAGCCCCTAGGGGGATGTTACCACAACTTAAAGGCACTTGTTGACACTTACATGATCGAACACTGGCATTTGACACCGTCAGGAACTTTCTTTTATACACAAGTTCGTCTCTACGACAACCCTGCTCACGTAATTCATCTGTCTATTCAAATTTTCTTAGTAAAACAATAATTATTACTTAACAATTCGATAACAAAGGAAAACAACGGAGAATGGTTGAGATCTAAGGACTATATATGCCCGATACGCTATGTGTGTTAGTGGCTTTGCAAGAATGTAAAAATACCAGTCTTGTGTAATTTCACCAACCCATTGTACCTTCTTGTAGATAAAATTATAATTATTATTACTAATATATGATTCAACGTTCACTAGCTCAAGACGGCTGCGTGGGATGCATTCCCTGAACACAAGCCTGAAAACATGAACCTACAGCCTCAACTCTAGAACAATGAACCTTCAGCCAAGGTTAGAGTGCCTGAAACCTGAAAACAAAAAGGCGTATCTGAGAACTTAGAAATCTAACAAGAGTGTCAAGAAGTTAGAACCTCGAGACCTTCCAATATCAGTCTATGAACTCAAAACCAGCAAGGTAGATCCCAGTTTACATATCCCAGAACCTCTGTATTATGGAAGAAAGAATACAGATCAAAGATCTTAAAAATCCGGTACCCAGGATTTAAAAGCCTAAAAACAAGACTTGAAATGTGTAACCTAGGAACCTAATCTTTACGTGGGAACCAAATGGTAGATTACATTACATGGAACTTGAAGTAGTTCAAATGAGATTAACAAAAATATTTTATTTTTTGTGTCAATCTTAAAACTAAGGTAAGGTACGGCAAGACAATTATCAGGAGAAAGCTCCATAACATTTGCAAGGGATTTATTTCTTCTTAATAATCTTAGGTGGGAAATGAGGATAGACAGTTGGGATAGGAGGGAGGAAAAGGAACGGTGTCCACCCATTTGGAGCACTGGGGGATCGAACGCCGACCTGCAAGAAGCGAGGCCGTCGCTGAACCTTGTGCTCAGAATTAATTTAAAACGAGAGAGACTCGGATCCTATAACCAAGAGCCCTGAATATAAAGCCAGGAGCTCTGAATTTGTCCGATGGTAGAGTTTACACTCTAATGGTCCGGATGATCCAGTCTAAGTAATAAGCAACGTTCACATAAACGCCGGGGACACCGGAGGAACCGCAGCCTATTCCCCAGGACACGATCCCAGCCAGCTGGTACCTGCCGTCCGGGCCCTCACACGCCAGAGGTCCACCTCCGTCACCCTGTAACACAAACCCATACTTTACTAACTCAACATTTTCATGTAAAACATCTCGAACACACACGTTACTAACTCAACCAAACAGTGTACATGATGAATGTACCTGAGGCCTTCTAACACCAGTGGCCTCGATGAGGACAGGAAGCCGGCGGCTTGTTGAAGGTCAAATACTGGTGGTGACGATTCTTTTGTGTTGCGTGTTTAGAGAATATTTAAGTAACTCTTCCTGCTACTGATGCTACAACGTAAGGAACATTGCATTATTGTTTTACTGTCACACATCACCCACCTACCTTACAGAGACATTATTATAGGTCAGGATTTTAGTGATGTAGGATTACAGTCAAACTATTATGTATTAACGATAAGACCACCATTAATGTATGATGACTTACTGTAAATATATAGCTCTTGAAATAGCACTTTCTCTGTAACTAGCTGACATTGTAACTATAAGGTGTGAAGGATAGATGAAATTGTTTATGTAATAATCTAAGATGAGGTCTGATAAAGACCTTTTGTGCCCTCTGTAATGCTTTTGCGCTACCGCTCACAGGATGAATATGGGGTGCACAATAAACTAGCCGCCTTCGGCGGCAACAATCAATCAATAGGCTTACAGAATGTCACATTTTATTTCATATATATGCCATCGATATTGATGGGCAATACAAATTCAAGGTGATGGGGCAGTAAAGTTTAAAGTGATGGAGCAATAAAGTTTAAGGTGAAGAAGCAGTTAAGTTCAAGGTGAATGAGATCAAAGCGACATAGGAGTAAAGATGAGAGGGGAAGAACCAGTAAAGTTCAAGGTGAATGAGAAGAAGGTGACATAGCAATAACATTCCAACACATGGATCAATAAACACGATGGAGATGCTAGAGAAAATGAGAGAATGAGTGGAGGGAGCAGCGACCCACCTTACAGGCGTCCTTGCCCTGCTCTCCCCCGGCACACATCATGCCAGGGTGGAGGCGGTAAGTGGGTCCCAGCCTTGTCTGCTGCAGCGCCCCCTGGCACACCACCGCTGGCACCACCGTCACGTCAACCTCCTGAAAATCATTATGTATTATTATCGTTAATTATCACACTTTTGTTATTTCTGCAGTGAAACACATCAGAGGAAAATCATAATTATATATCGTGGCTGAAAACAAAGGAATCTCGAACTCACAACCACTGGAGTGGAAGACAAGAGCTCTACCGACCACTACTCAGACACACACCACAGGTATCCAACTGGGACTTTCAACCCCAGACTCAAAAAGTTTCCAGACAATTACAGATTTCCCCTCAGTGATGAGTGGAAGTTTCCTTGCAATCCTAAAACACCCACTACAGCCCTATTCGGTGGTCTTGACAGTGTACTAACCTTCAGGACGTTCTGGTAGTGGCCGGCCTCGTCGAAGCTATCCTTGCCCCAACCCGACACCCAGCACCTCTGGCCAGAGAAGTCAACCTTGCTAGGCAGACACACTGGTCCTATGTGCGGACTGCAGAGTATAAACAACAATGTCTGTTAGTACATCGCAACAACCCAAGTTAGTATAATTAGTAGTAGTAGTAGTAGTAGTGCATTCATCAGTCTCAGGAGACTATAGAGTTGCGCTCTGGTTGTCGGTCTGGAGTGGCCTCACCAGGGCGTATAATTAGTGTATTATGTACTCCATATTCATGCGATGGGTTATGGCGGGACAGGGGGACACTCTGGTCTCCGAATGCATGATAGAACCGATCAGTTAGCCAACAAGTGCTAATTTCATCATTATTCATCGAGTCAAGGTTTTCAGAAAGAGAATGGAAGGGAACTATCAGGAGAAAGCGCCAAGCCACTACGACCATACGGCACTTGGAAGGGATCAGGATAGGAATACGGGATGGGACGGGGGGGTTAGAAGGCATGGTGCCCAACCACGATGGCTGTAACCTGTCACACGAACGAACCACTTACAGTCGAAGGGTTCAAGGGGGGAGGGGGAGTTATAACAGAATCTTTATTATTGAATCCAAGATAAAAGAAGGTTGCTATAACTGTGAAAATAAAACAAATAAATCAATTTACAAATGGTATAATGAGTCGGCTTATAATTATAGTTAAGGGAAACCGAGATTAAAAATATCCTTTAACGATACCTTCAGAGATCCAAATTAAGAAAGCGATGAAAAGGGTAATCTAAGAGAAAGGTATAATTGTTCTAACGAGACCATCAATGTTCACTTAGTGTCAAGGTGCTGAGGAAAGAGTGAGTGAAAGTTTTAAATAGAGTAATGACAGAGTCAGAACTCGCCTATAGATCAGGAGTGAAAGAGTGAATACCAGTGAATGTCAAAAATTGCTGTAATAACACCATCAAAACTTCAAATAAAGGTGATTTAGAGATACGAAAGGAATTCAATTTCTTCGTGCAGTTATAGCCTAATATCAGGAGGCAAGCCTCGCGACAACATAAATTACCACAAGAGAATCCTGAGCCTCTCTGAATTAATAAACATCTGATAGAAATTTTTACATGCACAATTTACTTTAAATTTTGTTATTCCAAAGTGATTTTACAAATCATAACAGTTAAGGCTGGAGGCGTTTGCATGTTGCGCAAGACTAAAGTCAGGTCCCGTCACTATGACATTTGTATGGAGACTCCACTTACTTTCTACGGAAATCAACCGGAAGTTCGATCCTGGCGAGGGCGATGTCGTTGATGAGGTTGCCAGAGAAAAACCCCGGGTTGACGAAGACAGCGGTGACATCACTCTCGTAGTACGGGTAGTATTCAGTATCTCGATTTACGTCCCATTCTCCCAGACGGATGCGCAGCTCTGAGGTCTTATACCTGCCGACCACACGACTCATTTCAACACCAAAAAAACTATAGACTATCAAAGTCAAGTTCAAGTAAGTTCATTGAGAAAAGAAAGTCATATCATTATCGGACACGGGATGTAACATGTACCAAAATATACATTATCGCCGAGATTTGAATTGTCTGTAATTAACCGAGTCTGTCTTCGTTTCTGATTTTATCACACTGGCTAGAAAATGATCTTGCATGTTCTTAGTTATTGCTATTAATATTTTATACATGAAGACCCTTTATGGAGAAATAAAATATATACAGCAGCAGATAGGTGCATGAGAAGATCCCGTGGAAAGACTGATTGAGACAGATATATGGACAAGCAGACGAGATGAGATGTCCGCGGACAAGTATAGAACTGGAAAACCACAGGGAAAGATGAAGTCTCTCCGTCTCTAACTCTACCCTTATTAGGGGCGAGCATGACGTACCCCTGGACGCAGTGGGCAGCCGTCAGGACGTGGCGCTCGTCGATGAGGGTGCCAGCACACACGTAGACGTTGTCGAAGCCCTCTTTCTTCAGCACCGCCGCCTGCCACGGGTACTCTCCTGCAACGACAAGCGTCGGGACTCTTACTGATCTTCTCTACACCATACACTCGTTGACACGATGCAAGTGCGAACTGGGAAAGTGAGTTATATGAGTCTACTTGTTCCTTATGTGTGAGAAAAGTGGGAGGAGATTTTAGCCAAGTGGAAGTGTGTTGTGATGAAAACACGCTGAAGGAACATCAAACTGGTTCTGTGTCGTGGAACAGGCACACGTTACTGGAACATCTAACTAACTTGTGTCGAGGTACGCTGTTCTTCACTCACCGAATTCAGCATCTCCTTGCTCCTGACGGGGCTGGTTGATGCGTCCGACGACCCCGTCAGTGTTCTTGATGCCACAGGTGCCTGCGGTGTTTCTGAAGGAATTGAAGTTGGTGGAGAAGGCGCCCTGGTAGCGATCAGAGCTACAGCACACCTCAAACACCCCGCAGTTCATGGGTCCGCCCGCACCAGCGCCGGCCACCTGCCCCTGAGGGCAAGGATATCAAAATCAGTAATCTACCTAAGTCAATACTCCTACCAAAGTCAATAATCCTACTAGAGTCACCTCTCTTACTAAAGTCAGTGGTCTTACTAGTCAGTATATTTTCAATAATCAGCACTTCTGTGTTCCATTAATGTAACTAATATGTAATATAAGCTTACATCATATAACTGTGGTGCTTAATAAAAATAGCTATATATAAACGTGTCAATAAATGTAAAACTCGCCATGAAGCTGTAAGTAACCCGGTACTTTACTGTTAATATCTGTACCCCTCGCCTATACTCCTCACTCGCACAATATATCAATAACAAAAATAAAGAACAAAGTATATTAGAACAGTACAAGAATAAAGGCAACATTCATAGAACATTGACGCCACGTGACATTCGGAATCAGTATACGGAGCACATGTGTGCGCTAACCTACATACACCTACCTTAATGTACTGCCTGCTGGCTCAACTTCAGTGCCTGGGCTCTGACTTTTCATTCATTGGCCGTTTGATACAGTAACTTGCAGGGATGAGTATCAGTGTTTAGCCCTCTCTGCTTCTCGTGTTCCTTTTGTGTGAGGAACACGAGAAGGAACACGCTCCTGACCTACGCTTTCCCTCACTGGTGCTCTTGAATATATGTAGCGAGTTAGCAGTTATTATCTTCCCTTCTGACATTCAAAGTATTCACCATTACCACACTAAAAAGGTACTTCCTTACTCAAGTCTGACTTCCTTCCCTTCCTATTGAGTACTTTCTCACTCAAGTCTAACTTACTACCCCCCCCTTCCTTCTAATGCCCTTGAGTACTTCCTTATTCATGTCTGACTTCGACTCTGTTAATTTCTCTGTGAATCTTGTATGCCGTTATTATTTTCCACAGCAGACAGCTCCGATATATTTAACCTCTTTTTTATGGTTCTAATCGTTCAGCGTGTGTGTGTACGAGTACGTTCTCTGAAGCTAATTTGCACCGGGACTAAACCTATTTTATACCTTCTGTGTACCTGCTCCATACCTGTATTATTCTTGTTCTCTACCAGTATGTGAAACTGAGCACCTAGAGGCGTCGTCACGTGAGTCACAAACACTTACTGTGGGCGTCGTCACGTGAGTCACAAACACTTACTGTGGGCGTCGTCACGTGAGTCACAAACACTTACTGTGGCCGTCGTCACGTGAGTCACAAACACTTACTGTGGGCGTTGTCACGTGAGTCACAAACACTTACTGTGGGCGTTGTCGCGTGAGTCACAAACACTTACTGTGGGCGTTGTCGCGTGAGTCACAAACACTTACTGTGGGCGTTGTCGCGTGAGTCACAAACACTTAATGTGGCCCTCGTCAGGGCAAAAGAAGCGCTGGACTCATCATGGTGTTTACTCACCACATGATGAGAACACTTGAGAACACTTGAGAACACTTGAGAACAGTTTACCAGATGCCGGTAAAACAATAAGATGACTGTCGTTCGATTCCATCACATGTCAGTTTTAATGTTTTTTGTAAAATAATTATTATCACATGTCACACTTTGGTATCTGTACAGTTTTCTATTTGCTATTGGAAGATTTGTTTACAAAATTTAAGAAGTTGCAAATGTAAAAGACGCTCTATAATTATACAATTATTTTCAAAAGTTCTAATTAAAAAAGTGACTTTAAAACTTTGTAAATTATCAGATTTCGTAACATTTACAAAAATAACTGTTTATACACTTTAATGTTGAGTCGACAGAAGGCAATGTGCGATTGCCTTGTGGCGCTTGACATACCTGGCAGTAGGACGCGAGCGTCGGGCAGCTGGCGAAGTAGCAGAAGCTCTCACGGTGCCCAAGGAGGCCGAGGGAAGGGCGCCCGGGAAGGAGATGGTACTGGCGAGGCCCACCATGCACAGGTAGAGGCAGCAATCCAGCAGGACCATGCAGTGCCGCAGGTAACCCTACCTTCTCGTCGACTAAAGTCAGAGGTCGAGGGTGTCGAGAGGGAGGTAAGGCAGAGAAGGAGACCATGCCAGGAGACAAAGAGGTCAGGCCGAGAGGCAGAGGAGGACGGAGTTGAGAGAGTAGTCCTACTGAAGATGAGAGAGGCGAGGGTAGTCCAAGAGCAGCCATAAAAGGAGATAAAGAACCTTGAAAGGCAGTGGAAGAACCTGGAAGAGACGATAGAAGGCCTGGAATGACACTAGAAGAACCTAATATGGGAGACACAAAGTTTGTAGGGGCATTGAGGGAACCGGTGAGAGAAGATCCCAGTGAAGATGAGGAACCAACAGGAGGAGGAGGAGGGTCGTGGAGGGGCCCTCCACGATGTAGAGAAGGGTGGAGTGCTGGGTAGGAGTAAGGGTCTAGGTCCGGGTTACTGTAATAAGGCAGGTTAGACAGCTGGAGGGTAATACCGATGGGCAAGTTGCTGAGGATGTTGCCGACGGGTCCCAGGAGGCGTGAGGACGCCTCATCGTGATGGTGGGGGTGAGAGGGTCGCTGCACCTCCTGACTCGGCCAAACCTTGTGAGGAACATACACGCTCCTACAGTATATCGCTCTCCTAGGCTCAATCTCCTTTATTACATTTATGTAATCGTTACTGTTGGGTGTTTTTACTACAGCAGGGTGTGTCCCCACTACAGCAGGGTGTGTCCCCACTACAGCAGGGTGTCCCTCACTACAGCAGGGTGTCCCTCACTACAGCAGGGTGTCCCTCACTACAGCAGGGTGTCCCTCACTACAGCAGGGTGTCCCTCACTACAGCAGGGTGTCCCTCACTACAGCAGGGTGTTCCCACTACAGCAGGGTGTTCCCACTACAGCAGGGTGTCCCTCACTACAGCAGGGTGTCCCTCACTACAGCAGGGTGTTCCCACTACAGCAGGGTGTTCCCACTACAGCAGGGTGTTCCCACTACAGCAGGGTGTTCCCACTACAGCAGGGTGTTCCCACTACAGCATGGTGTCCCCACTACAGCAGGGTGTTCCCACTACAGCAGGGTGTTCCCACTACAGCAGGGTGTTCCCACTACAGCAGGGTGTTCCCACTACAGCAGGGTGTCCCCACTACAGCAGGCAAGTCCTTACTACAAGATGGAAAATCCCCACTACAGTATAACGTCTTCAATACAGCGCTGGGAGTACCTATTACAGCAAAGAGTCCCACACAACCAAAAATACCACTATGCCATGGTGTGAACTGAACATTATAACTACTTATTTCAATCTCCAAAACACAAAGTTATCTCATTAACAAAATCTACAATTTATATTATGAATGAATTTGCATAAATCCAAATTATTTTTATTCATAGACGGAATACAAGGAAAGAAGGATATGATATTTACAGTTATTCTCCTAATTCAGCGGTATTGCTATAATATAATAACAATTGTGATAAACGAAGCAGATTCACGACGTGAGAGTGCCAAGGTCACCTGTGCGGAGTGCCAATGTCAGCTGTGCGGAGTGCCAATGTCAGCTGTGCGGAGTGCCAAGGCAGCTGTGCGGAGTGCCAGGTCAGCTGGGCACAAGAGTGGCGGTGCAAATCAACTAGTCTAGAGCATAAGGTCTGTGCGCCATATTATGCGCCTCTATGTACATAACTTAATATATATAAACATGACAAATAGTGCGCTAGAACAATTACATACTAGTTAAATATTACAAATTCTGAGAAGCTTTTGATCTGTAATGCGGGTTCATCACTTGTTTATGAAAGACAAATGCTAATAAATATACAAAAATATCTCGTCGTCTTCAACGATTTGCGATGTTCACCAAGCTTGGTTAAATAGATTGTGAAACAGCTAACATGATGTCGACACGGAAATATTGAACTCCGTGATGCGTGTGTGTGTTGAACGTTATCTGGTAAATAAATAATTCACACAAAGGTGTTTGTAAACAATTGAAAACACGTGAAGCTTTGTTTTTAGTTTTCGATTAACGGTTTTTATAACAGATTTGTAGAAGCGGACGTGGTTAGTGGGTGAGCGCGCAACTGTGTCTACGTGTCGGGGAACTTAAACCCGGACTCAGCCTTACTGTCGCCAGAGGCTCTTCCAGTAAACAAGGGGATGGACCCAGAACCCTGCGAGGGGAAGGGTGAGGATGGGGAGAAGGATAGGGATGGGGAGAAGGATGAGGATGCGGAAGAAGAGGAAAAGGAGTTAGCAAGAGAAGGAAAACTGGTACCTGAAGCAGATGGTGTAAGGCGCGAGAGAGAAGGAGAGACTTCGGAAGAAGCGGCCTTGTCGTTAAGTTCAGAGCGACCATAAGGGCTGTAGCTAGGAGTGAATCCGTCGTAGGGGTCGTTGGTGTCGTGGAAGTGGGTGTGTTGGTGCTTGTGGACGGTCCCCAACGAGTGACTGCTGTAATCAGCTACAGGCTTATATTGAGGCACATACTGAGGGGCGTAGCTCGGAGAGTATTGGGGGGCGTAGCTCGGAGAGTATTGGGGGGCGTAGCTCGGAGAGTATTGAGGGGCGTACCCTCCGTAAGCCTGAGTCTTGCTGAAAAGACCAGCTTTCTTATACCCGCCATAACCACTGCCGGGGTACTGGCCTCCGGAATAATAGGGGCTAGGGTACTGACTTCCACCAGGGTAATAACCCCCACTAGGGTAGGAACCTACACCAGGATAATAGCCTCCACCTGGGTAGCCTCCACCTGGATAACCTCCACCTGGGTAGTAAGGATAGTCTCCACCATAGCCCTTGTCTTTTTCAAAACCATATTTAATTTTGTCCTTAAGACCCTCGATAGCGTGGACTCCTTTAGCGTTAGGTGTGACCAGTAGATCCAGGGACGGGTTTAAGATGGGTCGTCCGTCCAGACTGGCAACCTTAAATCCAACGAAGGGGTTGATAGAGACAGGACCAAGGTCCAAGCCGAGGGGATTGTTATCTCCGCCATAGGGGGAGCCGTAGGGCCCATACCCAGCACCTGTGGGTAGACTGCCAAAGTTAACTCCAAAAGAGGGTACCAAGCCGGGTCCTTTGAGGCCGTCCAACCCACTACCACCTAACCCCCCTAGACCCCCTAACAGTCCTTTAAGAAACCGCTGTAAGAAGAAGAAATACTGGTGAGAGGCAGTCGAGGATTAAAGGTAAATACCAACCACACAGCATGCTATGGTTGTCATGATATACAAACATTATTTTCACAGGGAAAACAAAAAGTAGAATAAGTTAACAGGAAACTGACAAATTAGCCTGTAAGTGCAAATATCGTGAGAGAAACTGCTACTGAAAGTGCTTTACTAAATCTTACTCAGCTGCTGGACCTGCTGAGACAAGTCTGCTTGTTGTGTGAGTTGAAGCAGACAACACTCAGCGTGTCTCAGCAGTCAGCTGACCCCTATTAATGGAAATCTAGCCGGTTGCAAACTTACGGGTGACGTTTCCTCTTCCTCTTTAATTTCCTCCCTGGTAGAAGCGCGTCGCGAGCGGACTTTTTTCGCTACATCTTTACAATCTTTAAAAACAACCTCTTTCTGAAACATGCAACATAAAGGAAAACATGGTAAGACTCAGTCCAAAAAAAAACATGAACCTTTAAACTTGTGGGTTAATAAAATTGTTAATTAAGTCCTTACGTTAGTGAGAAGGTTCCTGAAGTACTGCTGAGTTACGTCGTGCACAATGCCCTCACGTTGACTCTTGACTAAGGCTGCGTCACTCGCACCTCCCCGTTGACTCTTGACTAAGGCTGCGTCACTCGCACCTCCCCGTTGACTCTTGACTAAGGCTGCGTCACTGGCACCTCCCCGTTGACTCTTGACTAAGGCTGCGTCACTGGCACCTCCCCGTTGACTCTTGACTAAGGCTGCGTCACTGGCACCTCCCCGTTGACTCTTGACTAAGACTGCACTAATCACTGGCAGCTCCAAAGTGGTGGAAGGAACGGGTACTACAGGAAGGGTGGTTAAGGGCTCCACTGGGCTGTCAACTTGGCCCTGGACGATGAGGTCGCTGCCAACAATGTTGATATTGGGGTAAGGAGTCTTCCGAACGGCCGAGAAGCGGGCGTTCTTAAGGCTGTTCTGAGAGACGGCTGGGAGAGTAATAACGTCTGAATCGTATGTGAAGAGATCAGAATCAAAATGAGAAGCCTCAGGAAACAATTCCCTGCTGCGCTTCAGCGAGCGATCCTGGGAGAGGATGTTCATCTGGTCTACCTGGCTGTTCTTGAAGGGCGTAGCCAAATGGTGTAGCGGGCGATCCTGGGAGGGCACAGCCAACTCTTCCAGTGGACGATTTTGAGAGGGCAAGGCAATTTGATCTAGTGGTGGATCCTGGGAGGGCGTAGGCATCTTGTCCAGTGTGTCTCCAGTATCTCGTCGCTGACGCCGAAGGGTAAAACTGTTGTTGGAAAATATTCTATTTGCCGACGGGGAATTACGAGGGTCTTGAATTCCGCTCAAGTCTTCCCGCGCTAAAGGAGAAGGCCCAGCGGGTTGCTGTTGTGGGCACTGACCGATAGGGACGCAGGTACATTCCAGCTCCCTGGGTCGACCCTCTCTTACGGGCTGACGTACATCCCTGACCAGCTTCCCAGCATCATCTAGCTCTATGTTGTACTTGCCAACTGGGGATCCATATATATCATTTAGTAGTGGGGGCAAGGGGGTCACACTTAAGTGCTCACTATTTTCAAATTTTAGAAGGTGATTCTTGCTGTTTGTATCTTCTCGCAATGAAGCATAGGAATCTGGCGAGTAGGAATTATCAGGGCCGGATAAAAAGTTACTATCGTACCCAGTATCGAACGTAGTGTCTCCCAGGATTCCATAATCTTCCCCAGTACCGAAATTATCGCTACTCAGGATCCCATAATCTTCGCTAATTCCGAGACTCTCGTCACCTAGGGCCCCATAACTAGGGCCAGTGCCAAAACTAGTGCTCCCTTGGAACCCGTAACCGTCGCTGGTAGCAAGACTAGCGACACCTTGAGCCCCATAACCTCCGCCGCTGTTGTCCAGTTTATAATTGTGTTGGTGGAGGTGGATATGCTTCACAGTTTGCATGTTGCCTCCTAACGCAGAGGATCCACCATATGAAACCGAGGGACCTACTGGCTCACTATATGACACTGAAGGAGCTGGAGAAGCACTATACCCAGAAGAGGGAAGTGGAGGGGCGCTGTATTCAGATGGATCTTGAAGGATTTTGTGCCCGGAGGAGGGGGTTGGCGAAGGGCTGTACTCGGAAGGGGGATCTGGAGGGGCAGCATACCCAGAAGCAGCACCACTGTGTATGATGGAAGAAGCCTTAGGAGAACCGTAGAGGTCAGGCGGGGCACTGCCACCGTGCCCTGTGGGGATCTCGCCGTAGTAGAAGTCCCGAGGGTTAGAGCCATAGGAGGTGGCACTACTTTGACTTCCGTAGATACTGCTGACGTCGCCCTCGTCGTCAACACCGCCATGACTACTGCCATGGTCGCCGTCCTGACTACCATAGCTGGTGCTGCCGCCGCCGCCCAGACCGCCGCCATGACTGCCATAGCTGGTGCTGCCGCCGCCGCCCAGACCGCCGCCATGACTACCATAGCTGGTGCTGCCGCCGCCGCCCAGACCGCCGCCATGACTACCATAGCTGGTGCTGCCGCCGCCATGACTACCATAGCTGGTGCCGCCGCCGCCTAGACCGCCGCCATGACTACCATAGCTGGTGCTGCCGCCGCCCAGACCGCCGCCATGACTACCATAGCTGGTGCCGCCGCCGCCCAGACCGCCGCCATGACTACCATAGCTGGTGCCGCCGCCGCCTAGACCGCCGCCATGACCACCATATCTGGTGCTGCCGCCGCCCAGACCGCCGCCATGGGGGGCGCCTCCGTGACCACCGCTGCTGGCGCCGCCATAGCCCCTGATGCCACCGTAGCCGTGGTGGTGAGGTAGGGCTGGGATGGGCTTACCCACTGGGCGGAGCTCGACGGGCTGGACGTACTGTACCACATGAGGGTGGACGGGCTTGCCATAGTGGAGAGTGGCTAGCTTGTAGCCCTTGTCTCCACACTATACCCCGTCAGTAGTGTTAAGGTTATTATATGTTATAAATATATACCATCTCTTAAACTAAGTGATTACAGCTCTCTACTGACTTTTGACTATGCTAATTCTTCACACTGGTACACAAAAATCTTTATTATAGTTACAAAACCTTGGAAGATAATGAATTAACTGGTGTCTAGTGACTGCATGAAATAGACTCAACACTTAAAAAGACATTTATTCCGATTTTTTCTTCATGAGAAAAGTATCAACTGATGTTCAGTGCTTAGACTACATACTTAGCTACTTAAATTAACAGAAAACAAAGAAAAATAGTCATGAAACACAGTGTCCGAACATGGCCGTCATCGGCCCACCTGCCAGACGTACCTGACCTAACTTTTAAACTAAAGACAATTCCTCTGAGGTGAGGTTTGACCAAGAGGTTCTTAGCTCTTCAGACCAAGAGACCCACACAGTGACCCCAAAAGAGAAAGTACGACGACCCATGGGCACGGGGGACATTACCATGGACAAAAATGACAAACAAAAGTATGTCCGGTGAAAGTGAAAGGTGCGGCCCCCCATCCCCTATCCACCCCCTCCTAACACCCCCCCCCTCATTAATCCTTTCTCCGCCTTCTTATATAACCTCCCCCCCCATCCCACCCACACCCTTCCCCTCCCCTCCACCCCCCATTCCCCTCCCCCTTGCCCATCCCACCCACTCCCCCCTTCCCCTGCCCTGCCCACGCAACAACTCAACACCCTTTATCTCCTACACTTGCATTGCCCAGATGGACATGATCACCCCCCCCCCTATTCCAGGGTCTGCTCCACCCGCCCCCCCTCTCCACCCTTTCAATCGCTCTCACCTATTCCTTTACCCTTCACTCATACTCAGCTCCCTCTATGCCCTAATTGAGGGGTAGTTTACAGTGCACCTCACACTCATCCTGTAAGGGGTAGTTTATTACGTAATCCCACACTCAAAGACTGCTCTCCCTGCTTTCTTCTCACCTCCTCCTCCTCCTCTCTTCTCTCTCTCCCTCACAGCTCTTTCACTATCACTCACAGCTCCTTTTCTCTCCCTCACACTTCCCTTCTCCACTCCATTACAGCTTACTCCTATTCCTCACCGCTCCCCCTTTCCATCACAGCCCCCTTCCCCTTCCTTCACAGCTCCCCCCCTTCCTTCACAGCTCTCCCCCCCCCCTTCTCCCCTACCCATTCACTACTCACATTGAAGCCTAAGCCGACGGAGCAGAGCTTCTTCTTAAGGGATCCGATGAACCTAGGCTGTGTGTCAGAGGGCGCAGCATCCAGGCTCAGTGGTCCCGTGTCACCCTTCTCCAGGCTCCGTGACGGCGCCGTGTCACCCTTCTCCAAGCTCCGTGACGGCCCCGGGGGCGCCCTCCACTCCCCGGACACGTCCAAGTCGTCCTGTTGTGGGTCCTCAAGCTTTAGGCAGTGAACATATATTTTGCTTTTTGTAATGAGTATATAATATATATATATATATATATATATATATATATATATATATATATATATATATATATATATATATATATATATATATATATATATATATATATATATATATACATTTTATTTTGTAATGTGAAAGATTTCCTCGACTGTGTTCTCTCTTCCAGACCAGCCTGTTTATACTTTTTAACAAGCGTCTAATATTAAATGGTTTTATTTAACGATAAACTTACGAATCTAAAGCAATTCGCCTGTCTTGAATGATGCTCATTAGCCCGAGAATGCCTACAAATCGATCGCTTATAAAACAGTAAAGAACTATACAGTCTGGAAGCTAAATGACGATAGCGTCCGTGTTGTTGTTGTTGTTGTTTTAGCTTCAGCTACTGGGAGCAAAAAGTTGTAAAGTAGCACGGGATATGGTGAGCCCGTACTGGACTTACCTGGCACAGGAGCGGGGCTGTAACTGATGACGGACAGATAGTGTCCAGAATATAATGCATCAAATACCACAGTCACAGCCCCGCTCCTGTGCCTGGTAAGTCCACTACGGGCTCACCATAGCCCGTGCTACTTGCCCCGCTCCTGTGCCAGGTAAGTCCACTACGGGCTCACCATAGCCCGTGCTACTTGGCACTTTTTACTCCCAGTAGCTGAATCTAAAACAACAAGAGCATCAAACAGCGAGGACTGGTAAAACTCACCTCATCCGCGGAGGAGGAAGACGAGGAGGAAGACGTGGAAGTGGAGGAAGAGGAGGTGACAACAGAGGAGGCGGAAGAGGGGCCAGGAGCAGGTGTGGACTCCTCCCACTTCCAGGTGGCCTGAGCCTCCTTCACCGTCACCGTCATTGTCAGCAGCAACAGCAGCAGGGCCGCCATCTCTGACCACCGTCCCATAACCTGCACAACACACCATTTTGTACATTTTCAGCGGATACAAGTCACATCCTACAACCCCCCATTTCCCTGCTTTTATAACACCCCTCGGCTCGACAGGCGGGGTCCAGGAGCTAATAGCTCGATTCTGCAGGCACAAATAGTAAATATATCACGGCTCCCCCAACGGATTTTAAAACAAACCTAATCTATTCTAAGCTAATACATCCTAACCTAATGATATACAGTATAGTTTTAACAATCAGCAAACGATCTATGACGAGTATGTGTGCTAGTGGCTGTACAAGAATGTAAGAACTATATATATATAGTTCTTACATTCTTGTACAGCCACTAGCACACAGCGTTTCGGGCAAGTTCTTAATCCTAATTTTCCCTGGAATACGACCCGCCAAATCGTTTAACAAACAGGTATCCCTTTTGGGGCTGTTTGTGATGTGTTTATATGTATGTATTAACACAATGTACTGAACGGGGTGAGAATAGCTTGAGCTACCTCATCCCTTTGTGTGTATTTTACCTCAATAAACTTATTTCAATTTCAATTTTAATTTCAGGTATCCCTTCACTGCTGGGTGAACAAAGGCTACAGTTAGGGATTGGCGCCTCGGCCAGGATACGAACACAGGCTAAAGCGCTCGCGAAACGCCAGGCGAGTGCGTGACCACTTCGCCACGAAGACTGCTACCACGAATAATATATTGATCCGTACCTTGTCTCCCGCCACATCGTAATGTAAGCACCCTCACGTGTACTTACAACAATAACAATAATAATCTTAATAATACCAAAAGAGATTGGAAGCACACACAGAGATCACACTAACGTGATGCATCAAATGAACAAAAGTAGTTCAGTAGAACTTCGGTTTCAACCCTTTTAACCCTGTCGTAGCTCAGTTGATTAAGGCAGTGTCTGGGATGCTCCTGGACGCAGGTTCGAATCCTCGTCACGGCCCGTGTGGATTTGTTCATGAGATTGGAAGTGTTTGTGGGTGTGAGCGTTCCTGTGAGCGCTCAGCCACCGAGGAAAGTAGTATTGAGCAATTTCCGGGAAAAGGTAAACTCACGTAAACTCATCCTGGACACGTGAGGAGAGGATCCAAGTGAGTGTGCACCGGGGGTTACTAGACTGTGTAATAACCTATTGTGGTCTACCACCCTTTGTGTCCCGTCATCTATTGCTATATATATTTTTGTCTGAGTAATTTGTTCCACCTCCCAGTGGTTTAAGCGCGCATGGAAGATATATTTCCCGATTAAAAAATATGCTAAAATGGACGATTTATCCGTAGTTAAACAACTCTATAACAATTGTTCAAGATATGTGTAAATATTTCATTCGAAATGATCTGCTGCCAGAAACTTTAAAACCAAGTCAATTCTGCTCGTGTCTGGGTTTACTCAGACTTTCGACTGGAGAGTAAGACAAGCATGTAAGCCTAAGGGGCAGACGAGGCACGGATGCCAGACACAGTTATTTAGCGTAAGAACAGCGAGTAGATGGAATGGACCAGAGGGAGAGATAGTAGTCTCTAAGTTGTCCAGAGAGTAGACGTGACAAGGGGAATTGCATAGACAGGCGTCACTACAATAGACAACCGCCTGGCGGTTAGGTGGGGCTCAGGAGCTTGAGCTTAACACTGCAAACACACACACACACAATGTCTAAAAGTTTACTCTGATCGGTGGTTGTCTATGCTGGCTTTCACGAGACATTTGTTATTCGCAAGTAATTCCTTAGGTAATTCCCCCACTCAAATTACTAGAGAAAACCAGTAAAGACAACCACCAATCATTCAAAACAACACCTTACCCCTCGGCCAGTTCTCTCTAAACAATAAACCATTTTCGTGAAGTCAAACACACACGAGTCATAGTGGTGAGTGTGGACGTCGCGTGGACGTCGCGTGGACGTCGGGTGGACGACTAAGCAACGTGACTTGGGTCTTCGGGAGAAAGCGCAATAAGTTCCCTAATCACATGATGGTTCACACCTCTGGGAGATGACTTGACAACCGTGGCCAGGCGGTAAGAACCTTAACACCACGTGGTAAGAATACTAACTCGAGGCACTAAGAATATGGAATGGAACACGTGGCAGTGAGAATATGTGATCGTGTCGTCAGAGACAGATACACCTGAAATTTAGAACGGACTCAAAAGTACCAAATTCCAATCCTTTAGTGAATATTTTCCAGTGTTTCGGTACACAGAATTACATGAAGTTTACAATATAACACATCATTGGTCTACCGAGTTTACCTCAGGCTAACGAACGGTACCCCAAGTACACTATAGTGGTAGTCTACAGCAAGAATAAGGAACTTAAAGCATAAGTAAAATATCAATTTTATATACTATCACAAACCCCTTGTACCTTCTTGTGTATAAATAAATAAATAAATAAATAAATAAATAAATAAATAAATAAATAAATAAATAAAATAATTAAATGAAAACGGAAGTGTTACCAGCTACGAAAGAAATGGGTAGTTTCCTTGAAGTGTTTCCGGGGCTTAGCGTCCCCGCGGCCCGGTCGTCGACCAGGCCTCCTCGTTGCTGGACTGGTTAACCAGGCTGTTTGACGCGGCTACTCGCAGTCTGACGTTGAGTCACAGCCTGGTTGATCAGGTATCCTTCGGAGGTGCTTATCCAGTTCTCTCTTGAACACTGTGAGGGGTTGGCCAGTTATGTTCCTTATGTGTAGTGGAAGCGTGTTGAACAGTCTCGGGCCTCTGATGTTGATAGAGTTCTCTCTCAGAGTACCTGTTGCACCTCTGTTTTTCAACGGGGGTATTTTGCACATCCTGCCATGTCTTCTGGTCTCATGTGATGTTATTTCTGTGTGCAGGTTTGGGACCAGCCCCTCTAATATTTTCCACGTGTAAATTATTATGTACCTCTCCCGCCTGCGCTCAAGGGAGTACAGATTTAGGCTCTTTAGTCGGTCCCAATAGTTTAGATGTTTTACTGAGTGGATTCTAGCAGTAAAGGATCTCTGCACGCTCTCCAGGTCAGCAATTTCTCCAGCTTTGAAAGGGGCTGTCATTGTACAGCAGTACTCCACTCTAGAGAGCACAAGCGTTTTGAAAAGTATCATCATCGGTACAGCATCTCTAGTGTGAAAGGTTCTTGTTATCCAACCTGTCATTTTTCTTGCAGTTGTGACGGCTACTTTATTGTGTTCTTTAAAGGTAAGGTCTTCCGACATGAGTACACCCAGATCCTTTACATTGCCTTTTCTTTCTATGTTATGATTTGACTGAATTTTGTACGTGGTTTCCGTTTTTATATTTTCATTTTTTCCGTAGCGCATGAGCTGGAACTTATCTTCGTTAAACACCATATTATTTTCTGTAACCCATAGAAAGACCTGATCTACATCTGATTGGAGGTTTGCCGTATCCTCTATGTTGTCTACTCTCATGAAAATCCTAGTGTCATCTGCAAAGGATGATACAGATAATACAGGATGATAGATTGTGTCCTTGTCTATGCCCGGTATGAGGATGAGAAAAAGTACTGGAGCAAGCACAGTACCCTGGGGGGTACTGAGCTCTTCACGGTTGATGGACCATATTTTATTTTCTTGACTGGAATTTTGGGTAACCAAAATTTTAAATATGGATTCATGTCATGATCTTTTTTCTCTCCGTCAGTGCTGTTGTAAACCATTTTGGAGGTGACTGAGGCACGGCCGGGTGAAAGGTGTGGGTAGATGAGTCAGTGGGAAGCAAAGTGAGCTTTCTCATTTACGGTACTCTACTGCACCAGCCAACTCTTGCCTCCCACGCATACACAACCCACTGCATACACTTCTCATCACATACTCTACACGAGAGAGACATCACCCAGGGTCTCGCTTAAAGACTCTAGGGTCTCGCTTAAAGACTCTAGGGTCTCGCTTAAAGACTCTAGGGTCTCGCTTAAAGACTCTAGGGTCTCGCTTAAAGACTCCAGAGTCTACAAAGACGTAAATTATCACATCACTAAAGGGATAAAAATGAAGCACCAAGATATGTCACAGTTACAAAAAAGAATAATAGGAAAATGTATATATATATATATATATATATATATATATATATATATATATATATATATATATAGGTTATCCTCTGGTGAACAACAGACCCCCAAACTGGGCATCAGGCACGTGGGAATGTCTTGGAATAAAGCAAATGTATAAAAGCCATTTTTGTTATCTAACCGCCAGCTGAAAATATGAAGAAGCAATCCAACTTCGGATGTTGGATTGCAATCCAAGTTGAAGAAGCATTCCAATTGATGTACGGTACAGTAGTGGAATGTGAAACACAGCAAACACAACTGCAAAGAAATCTTCTTTGTCAATACCTCTCACACTCAACCATATGGCGCACAGCGTCCGGGATTCACATTCCACAAACATGGGTTCAATTCCCGGCCGAGTAAGAAACAAATCAGCCGTTTCGCATGATGTGTGTGTGTGTGTGTGTGTGTGTGTGTGTGTGTGTGTGTGTGTGTGTGTGTGTGTGTGTGTGTGTGTGTGTGTGTGTGTGTGTGTGTGTGTGTGTGTGTGTGTGTGTGTGTGTGTGTGTGTGTGTGTGTGTGTGTGTGTGTGTGTGTGTGTGTGTGTGTGTGTGTGTGTGTGTGTGTGTGTGTGTGTGTGTGTGTGTGTGTGTGTTCACCTAGCATAAACACTTGGAAGTTGGTAAGCTGTTGCGGGATGCATCCTGGTGATGTTTAATTACCTAACTATAGTTACAGATTGAGAGCTACTCTCATGGTGTCCCGTCTTCCCAGCACATTTTGTCATATAACGTCTTGAAACTACTGACGATTTTGGCCTCTACCACCGTCGCAGTTATCTTGTTCCAACCGTCTACAAGGGAACTCTAATATTGGTTCAGAACTTTTGTTTCTTTTCCTTGAATCTATTATCTATTGTTCTTGAAGTTGCGGGTTTCAAGAATTCCTCTTTGTACATTTTGTCGATTCCTATTTTGTATGTAATGAGCA